CATAGCCCGCAACACTTATGACATAAGGCTCGTTGATAGTTGTCCACATCTTAACTTTGTCTCCAAAATTTTCGAAACAAACTCTTGCAAAATTTCGAAAATCTTCTCTGGATAATCAAAAAACAAATAAAAATGCTAGTCATAGTTTCTTTAATTGATGTGCACGTAAATTATATATTGTTATAAGTTTGCTTACATGATTTGAGGGCTTAAGAAACCACCATACTCGTCCTCGAGAGCTTGAGGATGGTCCCAATGATAGAGAGTCACTGAAGGTTGAATGCCTAAATATATAGTTTCCCCCAACAAACCATATAATTAACATAGAATTAAACAAACTTCGATTATATAGTTGATTTAATTGAGATAGTCTTATTAATAAATTACCATTAGCAATTAGCTCGTCTATGAGAGCATTGTAGAACTCTATACCTTCTTTGTTTACTCCATCCTTTACCTTTCCACCTTAAACATATAGCATTAACAATGAATATATACTTGGATAAATACGTTCTTAAGTTAAAAAAAAAAAAAGAATATGTATGTATCATTACACTTACTAGGTACTATTCTGGCCCATGAAATGGAAAATCTAAAAGCGTCCATGTTTAGTTCTTTCATCAATTTGATGTCATCCTGATTTAACAATTTTTTTTGGTCATTTAAACAATTAGGTTAACTATAAGGATCCACAGTAACATACATTACATATTTCTGATACCTTATAACGATGATAGAAATCTGCTGCCACATCTCCATTATGCATATTGGTTCTTTCTGCATTTCAAAATAACTTACTCATGTCACTAAATATAATTACATGAAAATTGTTTTTTTTTTTTTTGGACAACACATGAAAATTGTTTAAAATAGAAAATGGTACCTGGAAATGTGTGGCTGAAGTAATCCCAAATAGTTTCTGATTTTCCACCTTCACTTGTTGCACCTTCACTCTACATAATGGATAATTTGACTAGATAAATTAAAAACATTTTATATAGAAGTTATTATTTATAAACTATTTAATAAGTCTTATTTATATGGAAAAAAAAAACTAAATATATGCCTACATAGTCAAGACAAATGACTTACATTGATTTTAGTTATTATTTTAATACTTTTGTTATTTTAAAAAAAAAACAGAAACTTCACTTATATAGCTTATGGCTTATATCACTATGTTGGAGCTTGGAGCTATCCTATAATCCATCATATTTAAGCATGAAGCTACATGAGTCAACTCCTCCTCCAAAAAAGGAATTGAACTAAGTTCTTAAGGTTTAATCTCTTTTTGAAGATATAGAACTAAGTTCTTAAGGTTTAATCTATATATAAACTTCTATCAAGTACTCGTTAATGCATGTTATAATTGGGATGGTATAGTACCTGAAAGGCTGATATAGCAGTTCCAAAAATGAAATCATCAGGAAAGCTACTTCTATCAAGTACTCGAGGTTCAGGTGGAAGTGAAGTAATCTCCTGTGTAAGCCATGAAGTTACCAAAAGGAGGATGAACAATTGCATCTTCATTGTTTTTTTTTTCTTTCTCTTTTTAGTTGTTGAATTCAAAGATTTTGTATATTTTCTTTCAAAGTGATAAAGAGCTGAATTTATAGACGTTAAAAACTATGTGTGTTGCTTCTTTTTTCCTTAGCAAAAAGACAATACAAACAAACAAACAATGCACTTTACAGTAGTAATATTTTATAAGATAAAATGAAGTAGTCTCGTGAAATGAATGTATATCCTTCTTGTCAAAAAAAAATATTTGCATGTAACTCTTTATCAGGCTAATAAGTTACAACTCTTATCACATGACTGATTTTACAGATTTTGATGAAATCATGGTCCTGAATAAAAATTATATTATATTCTAGATAAGATTGTAATAAGATTAAACTAATGCAAATCAGATATTAGGAAACATACCATAATTTGTAATTTAGTAATATGTGACATTTTTGCTGTTATATCACCATCCAAATTTGAACCTGCAAATATTGTACAAGTTGCTAAAGAACAAAGTGTTGTATATATATTAGGAAAGTATATTATATTCTACAATAAGCATGCTTAACTGTGAATTTTTTTAAAGACTTTTGACCGAAATGATAAGTGAACTTTGGTGACATAGGTGGCCAAATCAATCTTCTCAAACCTCTCCGCATGCACTACCGTACTTCCTGAAACTAGGGTGTTAAAAATCAAAAATATGATTTGTGTGGCAAAGAAAAAAGTGTAGTTTTGTTCAATCAAATTCAGCTTGACATCCCAATTAAATTTAGGTAAACACACCATATTGATGATTTTTTGAATTGAGCTATATAAACTTGTAGATCGCGAAGAAACTTAATCGAGGAGATGGTTTTTTTCTTATTTCTTTCTAACTATTTAAAAGTTGAGAAGTTGTAAAATTGTAGGAGAGTTGCATAACACTTACCTGGATGTTGGAAATTAGAGCAGTACGGTTCGAAAATATTAGAAAGGAAGAAGCATATTGTTTTAGATCGGATTTGTAACCCTAATCTTGAAAAGATTGAAAGGGTTTCGTTTGGGAAAGAAAACATAATGAAAGCTTTATCTTAAGATTGTTTATGTCTGGTATGTGGGTATGAAACAGTAGTAGTAGTCTGAAACGATTGAAGAAGAGATGAAGAGAACAATAGAGCAGATATCAATGCGATGTATGAACTTCTATTGATAGATCAATTCGTAGATGTGTTCTTTTATAGGTACTATTTCTAACGAGTTGACGTGGCAAGCACTAGAGTCTGACATTTAACATATATAGAATTACATTTAGAGAAATTTTCTCAACTAGCACTGAAACAAGTATAATGGACAATTATAGCACACAGTCCACACATTTGCAAGAATAACAATAATTAAGATAATTACAATGTTTTTAGTTACTTTTAAGATTTTTTTTTTTTTTTTTTAGGTTGAATATTTTACATTTAGGATACGGTTTTTTAGGGGTACGGTTTATTGTTTAGAATTTAAGAATTAATTTTGAAAGTTGCATAATTTCAAACTTAATTGAATTAGTTTGATTCTACATGTCTTATATTGGTGTTGTTAAAAAATAGTATAACAAAGTTTTAACCCATTTTGATAAGATTCGAACTCATCCCGTTATACAATCCATCACACAACCCGTCATACATGCCGTGTATAAATTTTATTTCTAAAACAAACAAAATTTTTAATAATTGATTCTATAGGTATTTCGCATAACAACTTATAATCATTTGGAAATCAAGAGTATATCTCATTCAACAAGACCTATGTGTGAGGAGAGACAACCCTCATTCAGAAAATATTGATAATATAATTTAAATATTAAAATATTTTATAACTTTTATAAGTTTTAATTTGCTCAAATAAAAAACCAGATTTAACAGAATAAAACTTTTAAATTTGGAAAAATCAAGTTTTTTATTCATTTGTAGTTGGAAGTATATATATTAGTCCTCTTTGCTTTAGAAAATATACTTACTGTAAAATGAAACGAGTATTTGAGTGTTTTTGATAACTATGTCAATTTTGTATGAAAAAAATATCCAATTTCAGTTATATATTATTATCATTAAATACATTACTAATGCATCATTATATCAATATAATTATAAAAGAATGTAATACATAAACTATATATTATATCATTGCAAAGATATACATTAATTACTTTGTTTTTGTCTGGATTTGAAAGATAAAATAAAGTTGGACGAACAAGCGTTACATTTTTGCTTATGGGGCCGATTGGTAACGGCTGTTACTTGTGCCTGTAGAAACTGGGACTGTAAAGACTTTCGCTGTATATTATTATACAAAAAGATACAATGTTTTGAGTATCCATGCATGTATAAGCAAGAGATCATAATAACGTTGACAGATGTAGCAACAAATGCAATCTTACGTTACTTTCTTTTTTCCTTAAACAACTCTTACGTTACTTGTCTTGAAACTTGAAATGTCGCTATCTAAAATGTTTTCTTGTTTCTTATTACAACCTCTTATAAGGACTGATGCATGATTCGAGGGTCGAAGATTGAGGAGATACGAACACATCGCTATAACGTTTTCTCTAGGTTCTAGAACACTTTAACGTTCGTCTTGCAAATATCACAATAGAACCACTTTATCCAAATCACGTTCTTGGTGCATTGCTATTTTTGTCTACTAGTTCATCTTGTTGCTAAAGTATTATTCTTTTTCTTTGTGTTGGTTGACACTTGACAGTCTCTAGCTAGTGCTTTTGAAAGCATCTTTTACCTCAACATGCACATAGGATTTTGAAACCAACTCTGTGTTTTCGATGAATTCAAGAAAAGAATCGATAGACTTATCTATTCAAACATTTGCCAAATAATATATAGAAAATCTGAAAAAATATATAAAAAGATAAGAACGTAACCTTTGTAGGATGAAGCAATTCTTGTTTAAGTAACTCGAATTTTTTTTTGTATTTTCATTGCCATATTTTCTTTTTAGCATAGATCATATCAACTGAACACTTTTTTTTTGAATAATCAAAAATATTCTCGGCCAAAGCCCATACATCCCCCCGATCCCAAAACCAGAACATGTTATATGATTTCGTATCAAGCGCTACTCGAGCCGACGACGTTTGAGTTTTTGCCAAAGATTTTTACCAATTGAACTATTAGCACTTGGTTAAACTGAACACTTTTAAGTATTTTCATGAACTTTTTGACTGAATAATCCCTAAACAATGCATATTAATTGGTCAATCTCTTGAGGAGAACTTTGTAGAATCATTAACGTCTACAATGGCACATGATAATCCCTATTCAATGTCGACACAATTTTCAATGCTTTACAACATCTCCATTTTACTACCGGTGGAAAAACTATGAAACTGTGGTGTCTCAGTCTTCAAGAAACTAGCGAGTTTGGTTTATTTGCCTTATGCCTAGATTCATGTCCACAATCTCTTGCCTTTTTCTTCAAGAAACTAGCAAATTTGCCATTCAAGATAAATCAAAATGCATTTTCTTATATAAAGAGATATCATCAACCTTGACTTACAAGATTCATCAGAAGAACAAGAACATTTTCCAAAACACAAAAATACATATGACACATGAGAGACTAAACTTCAACAATGTTCTCACTTTGGTTAAGTTCAACCATCTTCTTCTTGTTTTTCCTCTGCAAAGTGTAGAAGTAAAATCCTAAAGCAAAAACTATTCCTATCAGAGCACCAATTCTATGCCAACTAAACTCATCATCCATAAAATCAAATGCCAACACAACAATCAAAGCCATAAGTGGTGAAGCACACATATGAACAATATTGCTAAAAACACCCGAAACATAAAACACCAAACCTACCAGCCCGACCGCCCAAACCTGCCACGACAAAGCCAACCCGACCAAACTCAAAACGTAATATGTTTCCCCTTTCTTAAACCTCTTGCTATCGCCTTTTAACTCCTTATACTCACCACTTACAAGCAAACCCACAAGACAAACAAGTGAGGCCACAAAAGAGACACATATTTGCATCTCTAAGACCATTCTAAACACTTTCTTGTTACCATATCTCTTTGTCTTCACCAACAGTTTCTCGAAACCGACTTGTGCTAAACAGAGAGTTAACGCGAAAGCAACCGAAGCAGAGAACGTTAACCAAGCTTGGATGGTGTAGATATATTCCCTTACAGAAGGCTCTCCTGCAAATTGAGGACTACCAAAAGAATAGCTCACAAGAGTGAGAAGTATCGATATGATGATCCATCTAGTAAACTTGAAACGGTTTATGATAGCCGTGAAAATCAAGGTAAAGATCAATTGGGACGCGGAAATCAGCAAGAAGAAGCCATAGTTTGAGTATAGCTTCCCTAGTGCGTACAACTTGCTGTGACCAGCAACAAGAACACCAAGGGAGAAGTAAAGCAAGATGAGACGTAAAGAGATGAAACGAGTATTGTTGGTTTCTTGGTTTGGTTTTGGTGAAGGGAAAATGAAAAAGATAGGGATGAGGATTGGGAACGCAGCGTTTTGGATCAGAGCTTGCATCCATGTTCCTTTGTATTGTTGATCTTTGTTATAATCTCCTCGACGGTCTTGAATATAGAAGAAGTTCAAGAGAAGGATAACAAGACAATCTCCTAGTAACACTAAGAACATACATAACGCAACACCGACCCACCATTTCTTTTGCTTTAGCTGCAACAATCTTCTTGGACTCAAGATTTGGTCTGGTTCTTGATTCTGAACATGTTCTGGTTTTGGTGAAACAAAATTTATAATAATCAGATTTTTTTCTTCTCTCAAGAACAAAAACAAGTGAACAGAAGTAAGAAGTTAAGACAGTGAAGTTACCATGAGTTGTTGTCTGTTTGGAAGCTTCGGTCATCTCCATGAGTCTTCTTTGGTCTTTCTTTGAAGATTTTAAAAATTGGTTATGTAAATTTCATTTTCTATGTATGGATATATATTATTCTTGAGAATGGTTGGCGAGAGATACGCGTTAAGCAATTGATGAGATCCTATAGCTAGTTTCCATCTTGGCGGCGTTAAATTCATGTGATCATCTTTTGGCACTTGAAAACGACTCATCAGTAATGGACACTGGTCCCGGACAACTAGTCCGTGTCGACATAGTCATAGATAAACACAGTTGTTAAGGCAATAAGGCATACTTGGTTAGGCCAAATTACATAGGCTTATCTGACTTATAATGTTGGATTTGTGACTAGGCATTCCAATAATTCTATAATCATTAGATGTTATAAAGTATTCCCTAGAAACATAAATATCTTTACCTCCTTAACAAAAAACATATATAGAAAATATATATCTAGAATATGGTAAAATAATCTAAATTTATACAATGGAAAATTGTAGATGATTTGTAATTTAGAGGCTATATTAAGTTAGGAAGTTGTTCCAAGTTAAAAATTAAAATCAAAGTAATGAAATTCATATTTTCTAGAATTATTTATCACATGTTTGAACACTTTCTCCATCATATTTAATATAATAATTTAAAGTTTATTCTCTTAATTACGATCAACTTTATCAATGTCTAGTGGAGTAATATAGACTTACAAATGCTCATTGACATAGTATTGTTAAAAGAGAAATACATTAAAATAAATCAAAACAATTTACAAATATATATAACACACTTTTTAGATCTATACAACAAGTTTTGGAATTGGACATATGAGATTATGGAGAACAAGAACAAATTTTGAAATACAAACATACAATTGAAATGATAGACTAAACTTCAACATTGTTCTCACTTTGGTTAAGTTCCACCATCTTCTTCTTGTTTCTCTTGTGCAGCGTGTAGAAATAAGATCCTAAGGCCACAACTATTGCTATCAAAGTCCCAATTCTATTCCAACTAAAATCATCATCGAGAAAATCAAATGCCAACACCACAAACAAAGCCACTAGTGGTGAAGTACACATATGAACAACATCGCCAAACACACCCGAAACATAGAGCACCAAACCTATCAACCCGACTGACCAAACCTGCCACGACAAAGCCAACCCTATCAAACTCAAAACGTAATACGTTTCTCCTTTCTTAAACCTCTTACTATCGCCTTTAAGTTCGTTAAACTCGCCACTCGCAAACAAACCCACGAGACAAACAACCGAAGCGACCAAAGAGACACATATTTGCATCTCTAAGACCATCCTAAACACTTTCTTGTTACCATATCTCTTTGTCTTCACCAATACTTTCTCGAACCCGAGTTGGATGAAACAGAGAGATAACGCAAAGGCAACTGAAGCAGCAAAAGTTAACCAAGCTTGGATGTCGTAGGATTCTTCGTCTTCCTTAGGCTCTCCTGCAAAATTAGGACCACCGAAAACATAAATACAAATGGTGCCAGCTATGGACAAGATGATCCATCTTGTGAACTTGAAACGGTTAATAAAGGCTGAGAAAAACGCGGTAAAGAGCAACTGGGTCGCGGAAATGAGCGTGAAGATGCCATAGTTTGCGTATAACTTCCCAAGTGCAAACAGTTTGCTGTGAGCAGCAACAAGAACACCAACAACAAAGTATAACACGATGAGACGAAAAGAGAGGAAACTTGTATTGTTGGTTTCTTGGTTACGTTTTGGTGAAGGGAAAATGAAAAAGAGAGGGATGAGGATTGGAAACGCAGCGTTTTGGACAAGAGATTGCAACCATGTTCCTTTGTATTGTTGATCTTGGCCACTTTCTCCTCGACGGTCTTGAACATAGAAGAAGTTCAAGAGAAGCATGACGAGGATGTCTCCGAGCAAGACTAAGAAAAGACACAACAAAACAGAGATCCACCATTTCTTTTGACTTAGCTGCAACGATCTTCTTGGACTCAAGATTTGGTCTGGTTCTGGATTTGCTGATTCGTCTTTTGTTGTATGTTTGGAAACTTCGGTCGTCATCTCCTTCGTGAGTATTTTTTTGCTTCTGGTCTCTTTCAATCTCTGAAGATAAGAAAATGTGTAAGTTTCATTCTCTATAGATTGTTGTTATATAATGATTGTGCGCGTTAAACAAAACAATGACTAGTTCCATATTGGCGGCGATATAATTTTTTTTTTTTCGATGATTAAATAAATATATATATATAGACTTGTACGTAATCATGTGATCCTCTTTGACAGATAAGATTTGTGTACTTTGAAAATGACTTACCAGTTTGGGGACATAAATACACAACTTTGTACTTTTTACCATGCTATTAACGGAAAGCTGTTGTTTTTAGTATATATTAGGTTAATTCAAACGTAATGCGAGGTTTCTTTAATTTTTGATTTGTAAATATGATTCGATTTGATTATATAACATTATCGTACTTAATATTAAAATTGTATTGATTTTTTAAAAAAATTTTTTGTAAAATAATCGCAAATTATTCATGAAGCTAGTAATTGTATTTAAATGTGTAAATTCAAAAAAAAAATGTGTAAGAATTACGTGGGTAGTCAATGGAAAGCAGTTTGGATGTTGAAAATTATCCTAACAATTATTTGTTTTTATTTACAAAACGTTACTTAATTAACTAACTTAGTTTTAGATTCTCAATAATTAATTTTAAATCAAACTTCATTTGACAAATAATTGATGATGTGACACTTAACATAACATAAAAAAAAATGTGTCATTTTGTTTCTCAATAACGAAACAACATGTACACACGAAGGTTTTCTTATCTCTGTCAACGAACATAGACGAAATTAAGAAACATATTTTTTTTTTCCTACTCTTAATTTAATTATGTTCTTAAAAAAAAAAAAAAAAAAGTAAGCTTCCAAGTGATTGCTGAAAAATTCGGACACAAAAGACTTTCAAACTTAAGTTACCTTTAACGTCTCATTACAACAAAGAACAAGTTGTAGTTGAGTGTCAACGGTCAAGTCTTATGCTGAAGTTTGAATTTTCAACGGGACTCTTTTAATTATTAAGGGGAAAACAACGGCTCACACGGTTAGATGGATATGCTTCAAACCACTAAAAAAGGAGAAGCTAGCTAGATTTAAATAATTTCCCAAGCTTTTAAATTAAATTAATAGTGAAATATTAAAATTAATTGGTCTCTCAAACTTGTTTTCTTAATTGACTTTCAGGATTACATTTAAGTATATTATTATTTGAATCCCTCTTTTTTAAAAAATAATAATATTAAATTGATTAATCAACCAAATTTAGCCACATTTCCATTTGTAGCTAAATATCTTTTACATTTCTATGATGAAAGAGATGCTGGGACGGATGTATAACCAAAGATGTGTGGCACGTGCCATATGCCAAAAACAATTTTGGAGATGTATAACTCGGTGGCATAGCCACTAACTAGCTTTATAACTACGTTGGTAATTCGTGTAGACACGACTTAATCACGCATTCACGCTAACCATTCGTCAATATATCGTAGCCACAGTTAACTACGTGGTCCATTATCGCTATATTTTAACCATGATATAACCATGTTGGGACGTGGTGGCTATATTTTAACTACGAACTAACCACATTTAGTTTAGCCACAGATTTTCGTAGTAGAAAGAAAACTATAATACGTTTTCTTTTTACTAGTAATCCTCATTTTCGACACTCCTATGATGTAATGTATAATTTGGTGACACAACCTCGAACTAACCACATTGAACTTTCGTGTCTAGCATGTAGCCATGAATTGGCTATGCTTGTTTGTCGTCACTATATAGCTACACATGAAATATGGCTAGTAGTTTCTTTGCCATGAATATATATATATATATATATATATATATATGACTATTTCGTGACTATAGCCAAAGAATACCCACTCAAAAGCCATGTTTTGTGTTGAAGTATTTTTGGTGGCTATTTCGTGGCATTTACATGGGTATACGTATATTTTATTCATAAACCGTCGAGTCGAAAACGTAGCTTTACTTTTTTTTTACTAGTATATATGGAGCTTTGAAATTGTGTAGCCTGGGCTAAGGAGTTTGAACACCATGCACCATGATCGTTGGTGACAGTACGATCTGCAAACCGTCGATGAGTATGACCATTGAGAAGGGTATATATGCACTTGGAAACTCCACAAAAGGTACTTTGTACGAGTCAGCTTTGTGACATAGGTGACATTCACAGTATATGAAGATTATCAAGGCTCTGATAACATATGGCGATTTGAATATCAATTGTAATAACTCTCATCTAAAAGACTACAAGTTTTCATCAAGATACGTAATTAGTAGACATGCTAGAGATTTGGTAATTGCGATTAAGACATTAAGACATATAGTTTACATAGATTTTGACTGAAGAATTTGGCTTCATACGTAAGAGTAAATTTTATGTAGCTAATAAATTAGAAAAAAGAAATTTATGATACAACGACTAAGCTAATTAGAGAGAGTATGATATATTAGTGGTGGGGAGGCCAACGGATGCCTTCTCTCCGGCAAGGAAATGGCGCCGGAAGAGCTATGTGCGACGGCAGCTTTTCTCCCGGCATCATCACCGACACATCTGACGTACTTACCGGAACCTGTTGCCATTTTACACGCTTTGGTTATGTCAAAATACTTTATTATATTAAAGTGGCCGCCGAAAAAGAAAAAATAACAAACAAACAAAAAGGGTTTGGAAAAAATATTTTAATAACTAAGTTAAGGAAAGACTAAAAATTTGAAGGTATTTTATGTTATTAAAATTTTCAGAGTTTTCTATACATATGAAAACTCCAATTCTTTTTTGAGAAAGTAAGATCATATGTACAACAAATTAGACTCTACAATACCATAGAAATAAGGTTTCAAAGAAAATAAAAATGTTATGCCGAAGTCGCTATGGCGAAAGTTTCCAACGATGGCTTCAATCTCGCATTTAACTATGTTTTAGAGCTCTATATAATCTCTCTTCAATTCTTTTAAGAAAATGTTGCATTTGATATAAAAACGTTTTTTTTTTATTTTGAATATAATTTAACATTAGATTCAAAAATAAATGTTATAAAAGAAATAAAGCACAAAAAAAAATAGAAATAGTGGTGTGTTTTACCATAGAATTTTTTTGAGCATGTTTCTGAAACTGAGCAGAGCCATCGTAAAGAGAAGAATGATCAGACCTGAAGAAATGTTCGAGGATTGCCAATATGATGAACATTAAAATCAATATTGCAGTCGCCACAAACCCAAACGAAATCGCATTCATCGATGAGCCTGAAGCATCCTTGGTTTTGTATATGTTCCATGTTCTTATCGATTTTTCTGACCTTGACTCGTTCATCTTCAACTCTCGGCTTGTTTTGCTCTTATGTTAGGAGACAGAGAGTCAGAGATCAAGATTGAAACATAAAACAGAAAAATCTAAGTTACGATACTTTAAAGTAGGACAGAACATATAGAAGAATGTAAACACGCAAAGCACACTTTGTAGTTTGTATATGCTGATATTTATTGTGGTTAGTTGTGTTTACTGTTTATGTTATACATACGCATATAGACATGTTTATAAGCTTTTTATATCCTAGACAACCAAATTGTTTATCCTAAAAACGTAAATATGAGAATACTTTTTCGTGTATGATTAAGATAAATAGTGTGGTATCATATAAATCTAAAAAAAATTAATATGATATTTAAAAGAATATGTCTAAAATCTAATGTTATTTTAATAAAAACACTCGCGAACAATATTCCAACTTATTTATGATTTTTGCAGTGTTATTTAATTTCTAAGAAAAATATTAGCGGTAAATATTCTAACGTATTTATGATTATTATTAGATGCATTTTTAACATAGGGTACAATTTGGTTATCTCGAACATCGTTTCTATATGTAAAAGAATATTAGAAATACTAACAAGACTTTGTGTGATAACTGATAATAGTACCTAGGGATTAGGTTCAGAGGAGACATAATCTTTGGTCCCTGGATCCTATGATCTCCTCATTGTATTAATAAAGAGTTAAAGTGATAACTTCACTCATATAATTTATTTTTACCCTATAAGTATATATTCTTTTACTTTCTTCCTTTAATTCTTCAACTAGTCTATTACACCAAGTCGAAAAACAAAATTACAAAATTTCTGTTATACTTTTTTTCTTTTGTTGATAAAGATTTATTCTCGTCTTGATCAAAATTAGTGGTCGAACAGGAATTTGGAACTATCAAAGGATCGCTTAGTAACCAAGAAATTTTTGATGCGGTGTGTGAAGTGAAGACGAACCATTGGGTTATTACCAAAGTTGTGCAGCCCAAACACGATAATTCTATAAGACCGATGAGTAGTCACACCATTAAACCAACCATTGTGATCCTAAATAATTTAGTTAGTCTTGGCGTAAAGGTCTCGTGAATACTTTTCGTAGGTGCACAAATTTGGGAAACATGACAAAATGTAAAGACAAAGCTAATATTATACTCTCCCTTTACATCTTTTCATACTTTCTTTTCAATTAATTAAAAAAAAAAATTCCATGCTTATATAGTTCTTAAAAATATAAAATATTCTCCATTCTTTGTGCTTACTTTTTTATTTATTTTGTCTTTGTTTTCATGTACTTTTAAATTAGTGGGTATATGTTTGTCGGTTTTTATGTACACAAGAAGCAAACAGATTAGAATAATGTATAATTAAAGTTAAAATTAAACATACTATTAAGAATAATAATTGTGGTTGATGGGTCCTTCGTGTCATGAGAAAGATACAACAAAAAGAACCATTGGTCATTGGTTAATATTAGTGTTTTTATAACCAGACAAAAACATATGTACAACCTTTACTTTGTTGTGTTATTTACTGTTCATATCATACATTTCATACTCCCTCTGTTTCATTATAAGTGATGTTTAAGGTTTTGACACACTAAATAATAAACATATATAATTTACCTATTTTCCATAAAAATATTATTAACTAATATAAATTCAGCCAATAAGAAAATATGATGTAAAATATAATTGGTCAAAAAATATTAAATACATTAAATTTTTGTATAGAAAATTGAAAACATTACTTATATTGAGACAAAAAAATTTGGCTAAAACCTCACTTATAATGAAACAGATGGAATATTAGTTACGTAACTTAGGGATCTGAGCAATGATGAATAACTTTTGCTGTTATGTCTTTATGAATTGAGTTCTGATCTTTAAGAAAAAAAAAAGAATTGAGTTCGGATTTGAAATAAGTAAATATCGTGTGCATGCTTTCATTACCTTATGGGTAATATTAACCACGACCCTTCGGTTCGTTTATTTCGGTTCTTTGTTTAGTTTCAAAATTCTTAAGTGGAACGAACCGAAATTAATTTTGGTTTGGTTATTTCGGTTTTTCGGTTCATTTGGTTTTAAATTTTCAAAATCAACTTGATTTTAAAAAAAACAAAATCAGATTTTTGCAGTTATTTGGGAATAATTTTGGGTTCTTTTTAGTTGTTAGTTTTATTTCAAATATTTCGATCATTTCGGGTTCAGTTAATTCAGGTAGTTCAGTTATTTTAAATTTCAGTACAGTTTTTACTCTACTGTACACTGTAGTATGTTTTCACTCTACTGTACACTGTAGTATGTTTTTACTCTACTGTACACTGTTTTTTGCATGTATGTATATAAAAATCAATATGCCTAGCGAATCACGATCATATAATAGTGTTTATTTACTTCCAAATCTTAATGGTGTTGTCGAAGCTACCAGACGCAATTATTCCCCTTGAAGGCGAGTCCGCGAGAGCTGAGATGCGGTCTTCATGAGTCGGTAGATAGTTGCCTGTGTTTTCAACCCACTTCCATAGCTTCAACGACTGTCATTAGATTTGCTACCAAAGTTAGATGCCTTGTAATAACAAAAAACTAAATTTTTGAGCTTTGATAATCGCATGGTCAGAAACATAGAGTTCACGTATGATTCGATCAGATATATAATGCGATGAATCGTGTAAAACTTAGAGAAATCATTTACCTTGTAGCTACCGACGATCAAGTAATCGGGAACTCTAGGGTGAAAAACACAAGAGAAGAACTTGTCTCCATAATCGGATCTTAACTCGCAGATTCTCTTTTTTGTGCCTAATGTCTAAAGAGATGCGTGCACCCTTCTTTCCTTATCTGCTTGGAAAGTCTAAAGAGATGAAAAACAGATTTCAATGGTGGAGAATGGTAAGAGAAAGTTGTGAAGCTTGCCTTCAAAGTATGAGAAAAGGAATATGTATCGGTGTTCCAGTAGTGGATTACACCGCTGCTATCACAAGAGCAAAACATCTCTGTTTTCTTAGGATGAAAGTCAAGGGACTTCACAGGAGCTGTATGACCAGCCACTGTTCGTAGGCAGTAGTAACCATGCTGCACAGGTTCATTTTAATTAGTCTCAAAAGAATTTTTGAATGCAAAAGAAAATACAAGACATAGATATTTACCTTAGAAGCATCCCAGATTTTTATAGTTTCGTCTAATGATGATGTTGCAAGTAGAGTTGAATTAGATTGGAAGCGAACATCAGTAATGATATCAGCATGTACATCAGGAGTGGTCTCAGCGTGACCTGTTTCCATGTTCCAGATGAACACCTATCGACAATAAGAAATAAGCATCTACTTTATCTGCTCTTTAACAAACAAGATCTTAGTTACCTAGATGATTTGTGGTCGTTATGGTCATTGCGAGTTTGTAAACAAATGAAAGAAGTATCTATGTTCCTTTTTGACAGGAAGTGACCTTACCATGGTTCGGTACGGAACAAACCTCTCTGAAATTGAAGCCTTAGACAAAAAAAACGGACTGTGATTACTAGATAGATACCCAATAATACTTTTTGAGGTTTAGGCAGCATGCTCAGCAGTGTTCTATCTATAGTGTCAAGTATCTTACCTTTACCACCTCGAACTGTAGTAAATTCCACATCTCCAAACTGTTCCATGTTAACCAAAAAAACCAACAATTACCCAGTAATCAAAACAAAACCATGATGTGTATTCAGACTGGCGTGTGATCCTTGCTTGACAGCTGTTGAAGTAGGTGTGGCAGTGGTCGTAAAGATAACCTTAGGATACGGCGGTTGCAAGTCCTTTAGAAGGACGAACCCTGATGGAGCTACCTTCACTGGTTCGTATCTGCTTTTCTCCATGAACTTTATATACTTCTCTTGTGCAGGGACTACCCGTGCCGGGTTGAACAGAATCTCAAACATTGCTTCTGCCTCAGCCTTCTTCTCCTCCGTTGCTGCGCTATCAGCCTGCCAGTACATGGATAATCTATCGTAAGTCTAATTATGACCAAGACTCAAGACAGATACACTTGATAACATAAGACAGAGCAGATGGAGATTGGTGATCTTGTATTGGCGTTTAGATGATGTCAATAGTTTAATTACATATAACGGCATAGTGTCTCTGTTACCTTCTCAATTGATGACTTGCCTATTTTAGTGACAATCTTCTGCTCTGCTTCATTCTTGTTCTTATTCCTAGATTTAGTGGCCTTCACTGCCGTTGAGAGCAGGGCAGTTGGTAATTTGGCAGTGATGTTGGAAGTAAAAACCGTAGTTCGTTTTGGATACTCAAACAAAGATGGTCTTGCGAGCGACATGAATTCAAACTTTGGGAATTTGAGATCATAGTTCAAACCGATGAATGCGGTTGGTGAGAACGCCAAGCATATGAAGTAAATAAGCGGGTACCAATACCAAAACTGGCTGAAGATTGCAAGGCCAATGACCGCAGTGACTTTGTCATGTTTTGTCGTAGAGAGAAGCCGTATTGTCACATTCCTTCCACCAGCATCAAGAATACCTGAAGCCAAAATTGCTCCCGTATTGCTCATTTCATCTGTAAGCCGATCGAGTAAAATCTTTTCAAGTTGGTGCCTGCAAGAAAGAGGTCAAAGTTAAGTCTACCAGAGATATCACTCTCAAAATAATACAAAAGGTTACAGAACATAGGTTTAACTTTGGTGTACCACAGAGATATAAGACTGAGAAATTTCAAAAGTAGAATTTTATCTGCATGTTATTGCTGAATAGATGAGAGCTCACTAACCTAAATGCTCCAACGCGAGAATCACTTGCTTCACTAATTTGGACCATCACCATGGCCATGGAAACCAGAGCACCTTGACGAACAAAGTCGACGACATCTGATGTAAGTGGCTCCAGCAAGGATATCGCCTCACTCAGGCCAGTTCCTGCACAAGATATGCCTACGGCAAGAGCTGCGCCATAGCGGACATGCGGATTGTATGACTGGGAAAGCAGGGATACAATACGGGGAGTCTACAGTTAAAATATTCAAGCAGCCTATTATGAGTAGTGTGAGAACAAGCTCCCTAAAGGCACTAGAGAAATGGTGTATATAGAGTCCACATGTTATTGCGACAAAGGGGATATAGAGTGACCTGCTCTGGATCAGAGTATAAGACGAATCCAAGTGCGAGAACAGCAGTCCTCCTGACATCGTCACAGACATCAGAGACAGCAAAGTGCAGAAGTTGACGCATGGCTTTGTTGTTTGCAGTTCCTCTGTAAGCCAATGCCAGTGAGTACATTCCACCACAACGAATTATAGGATCACGATCTCTAGTCATCTTCTCAATCAAAGGATCTGCTCCTTCTTCTCTACCATATACTGTGAGAGCTGTTCCTAGAGCCAGTCCCCTACAAAAACAAAATTTAACTTATTGAAACAATTTATGAACTTGCCAGAAATATCCCCAGACTCGAAATTACCTTATTATCTTCTCATGCTGGGTGTTGTGAGCATAAGCGAGCATCTCACTTGCTTTATCTGTTGCAGTTCCAACAAATAATAGACCCATGCTGATGCCGGCAGCTTCACCAGCAATTGCACTGTCAGTGTAGAGCACTTTTTTTATGTCTTCATATATGTATTCATCAGCTGTCCCAAAAGATGCCAAACCAAGACCTAAACAAGCTCCATGTTGAATAACCTGCATCAATATTTCCAGGTAAAAATTAATGCTCTAAGAAAAATACAATCTTCTGGTGATATAACAAAAAGACTATCTTTGAAGAGAGATAGGGTAACCTCAACACTAGTACTACGTAGGCTATCACGAAGAAATTGCCTAATTCCCTCGCCATGGTTGACATGAATAATCCCTAGGGCATATAAAGCACCACCTTCAGAATAAGGACTCCCGCCACCACCTGCTCCTCCTTGAGGCAAATAGGGAGCCATCACTGACCTACTTTGTTGTAGATGACCTCTATGAATAACACCTAATCCCGCTACAGCACTAAACTTAGCCCAGTTGGTGGCCCAACTTACCGAGACCTACCAATCCACAAATGAATGGAAATAGAAGAAGATTATATACTATTCTGCACCGTAAATGTTGAAACAAGTAACAAACTGATAGGCAAAGTAATAATTTTACCAACTTCTCCTTGTAAAATGTATCCCTTGCTGTTCCAGCATGCATTATCGCATAACCGTATATTGAAGCATCGTCGTGTAATTGACTTAGCCATTGACTGTACAACGAGTCAATCGACTGTTCATTTGTCTCCAGCAGGAACAACAGGTCTGATCTACAGACAAACAAATGGCCATCGCTGAAGCATGTTACTATCTGGAAGAAATGACTTAAGAAAAAGAATATCCTATCAAGATATCAAAATCTAGAAGGGAAATTCACTGCCTCACTTGTTATGTGTGTAAAGAAACTGGAGGGTCAACTGCATTGATGTCTCTCCAGATAAAATCCCCTTAACCTTTGTTAACCTCTCAGCGTAAATAGTATCCGCAGGATCTGTTTCATCTGTCATCTGGAGATCCCCTTCAAAGTTCTCCCTCTGAGCGGTAGAGGTTTCAGCAGCTTGAACTGCTACTACAGGAAGGGTCTTGGGCGTTGGAAGGCTGTCTCTAACACTCATGAGAAATCCATTGTGCTCGTTCTCTACAAGATCAAAAGCGATTTGCAATGCAAGTAAAGCATCATTTTTGTCCTCTGAACGAAGAAGTTTCTCCAATATGCTTGCAACACCATGTGGTTCATCCAAGAACATAAGGCATTGACAAATACTCGAATAATCAGGAGAAGCCAGCTTCCAGACATTAACAAGTAATCGAAAAACCTGCAACAATCAAGATTAAGTAAAATCACCAAAAATATATTTTTGAGGATATAACACGAGAAATACAAGAGGCTTTTGAGTTACAGATAAATACATAGAGGATGCAAGATACAATATGGGACTACATGACCATAATATTTGCTCGGCAAGATAAAAGTAGATGGATGCTATCAATAGTATCATAAACATATTCTATCTATTGAAATGAAGATATGTAGCCACCAGACTCATCTTATGTCTATAGTCTCTGCGGTTGATATAAGAGTGAGAAACATTGATGCAGTAAGATAAACTTCCCTGAACATCTTCGCTCTTTATTATAGCTTCTTCCAACTTATCCAATCTCCGGCATTCTATAGCAATTCCCATGGCTTGTTGATACTTTCCATCACTGATACATCTGTCAAATAGATAACCATGTAAGGACTTAACAACTAAGAACTAAGAAGACAGGAAAAAAAAAAATCGGGCGTCTCATACTTTTCCATCATTTTTTCAACAATAGCCTCCAATCTGTGATCAATGTCTACCGTCTCATACTCATTTAACTCATCTGCCTTCAGTCTGAGACTAGCATACTCATCTATTGCTTTGGCTGAAAAAAAAAAACATAAGCGTCTGATCAGTAAAACTTTCAACATTAAATATTTATCAATTGTCAAGTATTAACATATCTCTACATAATTTCTTCTTGGAGCACAATCTTATTGGTTAAAAGAAAGATGAATATTCAGGTCTTGCTTATTCGTAAATCAGTTTGGTATGGTCTTTGACTTATATGAGTAGTACAGTCATAGCTAAAGTCTACTGTCACAGATTTAGAGAACAAACATGACATAGCAACAAGCTTCACAAGCCTTACCTAGGAGAGTATGAAAATAATCAGACTCATCCAGCACATCAAACAAAGATCCAGCTTTAAGGGCATAGGCCAATGAATCGTTTAGCTCACCCAAGTAATAGAAAACCTGATACAAGATTTAACAATCATCATGAATGAAAAATCTCATAACTCAGATTAATAGAATGTCAAGCCCTGAACTTTCTACTAATCTCAACTAACATTTAAGTTAAAGAAACAAGCTAAGCTATACCTTAGAGATTAGCAATGCAGCAAGCTGTCTTAGATGCAGATCGAATTTTTCATCTTCATATAAGGACTCACTACAACAACAAAAAATAATGTCTATCAGTCATCCATGTAATTAAGACATTAAACTCATAGTACTAAAAAAGTATAGCCACAAGCATAGTTACCATGTTCAGGAAGAACTCTGTGACATAGAACAAATCTACACAAGAAACTCTCTAAATATAGTAACTCCAAACCAAATCGCTCCGTTCTTTACTAAAACCATCTAATCTACACTGACGCAACTCTCCATGACTAACTTTACACCCTAAATCAAGGACCAAAACACCTCAAAACTTCCAAAATCCAACAAGATTTTTTCCGGGAATTCGCAGAAGGAAGAACAAGAAAGCCTCAAAGAAGGAGAGAAAATACAAGATTGGGAGATGATCGGAGATCTCCGGCCAAAACTGATGAACCAATCTGTTGAGAAGTAAGAGCGCTTGAAGTTTCAACGAAGGATGTGTTTCTTTGAGCATTGCAATTACACTACTCGCCGAACTAATCATCGCCGTTTCCATTTTCCGACGAAGAACCCTAATCGGAATCGGAATTTCAAAACCCTAATCGGAACCAATCGTCGACGATTCTCTCGTCTCTATCTAACGGATTTGTAAAAAAAGAGTTTGAAAGAGAGAGAGAGAGGGAAACGAAATGTCAAGTAATTAAGCAATTGCCCCTATTAAAATATATATATTTATACGTTTATCGCTAACATTCTGTATATTACGTTTTGGTACCTCTATTTTTCAATTATTACAAGACGGACCCTTAATTTTGCTGCAGAGACATTCACTCACTGATTCCAAATCTAATTGAATGTTCCCGAAGTTTGAATTTTTAAAAAGATTGATTGGATTTTTCTGCAACAAAATTAGTAGGAATTGATTTGTCTTAACTCTTAACATTGATCAACAGTTTTATGTTTCTGTTTTCATTGACAAAGATGCTTATGGTGATTGTGATTGGTGTTGAATGTAATAAACATATCCTATAACAGGCAAAACGAAAAACAATAGCTATAACACTTATGATACATTTTGAATCCTTACTACTACTTCATCAATGCCTCAACTGCTTTGTGTAAAGCACTACTACGATTTGGACCTCCTCCTCGACGTTTAAACAGTGAGTGAGGTCCGTTCCACACGGAATTGTGGTTGTTGTCATTAGGGAAGAGAGTTTCACAGAGACTTAGAAGCTGTGGGTTTCTGACTTGGAACTTTTCTTGCATCTTCATTCTCCATTCTTTTCGCTCCAACTCCTGCCGTTTCTGCAATTTTCGATGTAACACAAGCTATCTCAGTCGTGCTTATTGCTTAATCAACACATCTAAAAGTTTCAAACTCTTTCTCTGTTGCATATAGCAAAAGAGAGGAAGAAAAGTAAATACCTTTTGCCTTTGGAGTTGTTTTTCCTTCTCTTCTTCCTCATTCTGAGTCGATTTTGGACCTTCAACAGAAGCTAAAGTAACCAATTTCTCCGCAGCACTAGACACAGGCTCATCGTCAGTCTCTTCTGTTAATCTATCAATCGATTGAGTCTTATCCTCTACATTAGCTTCGGTTTTATTTTCACTCTCCACTTCAACATTTTCCTCTTCCTCCTCCACGTCGTGTTTCTCATTTACTCTCTGTCTTTTTGACACTGGACTATCTAGTTCCACGATTTCGGTTTTTTCTTGTTTAGTTTTGTTGTTAACATCAATATCCATGTCCTGCTCATCACCCATGTTTATTGATGAATTATCCACAGATGGACTTCCCGCAGGTGAAGATTCCTTTAAGAGAAAGATATTCATAGTTAATATATGTTACAAAGTTAACACATTGCAGCAATCTGAAGTCAAAACCTTGGTGGTGAGTGGGTTATTTTTGCACCTAAACACTTTGCACACCAAGATTTATGTGTGTCATGTTATTAAAACATATTACTAACCTCTTGTGCTCCAGAATGTCCTTGAGAATCTCGTTCACGTTCTCTTTTGCGTCGCTTTAAAACACATATCGCACACATGCAATCGCTCTTGTGGTGCCGTCTGCAAGCGAAAAATAATGATAGCAAATGAAAACTGACACCAATCACAGTTTTAGAGGGCAAAGGAAGGGTACAGGCTCTGTAGGAACTATCAATTAAAAAAGAAACGCAAGATGTATGAACTAGGCCACAGAGTACATTTTGGCAAAGAGAAAACCATATCCAGCTACAAAATCTCTGCTTTAATATCCACTAACTAAGATTGGCTATGGTTAAGCAGATGTTGTTATGGTAGCTTTGTAACATTGAACTCGACGACGACACATTTGAAAATGAGGCCCTACTTATAAGAGGAATAAAAGTTTCATTTACATACCCATGGCGTTTATGGCTCTTCTGCTTTGATTGACTGCCTTTGCTGGATGCCTTCCCACCATCATCAGTATTTTCTGATCATAACCAAAAAATTCAAATAAGCTAAATCGTAGACACATTTACTCATACCAAAATGCATAGCTGATAGATACAATGCAATAGTGTATTTACACTTTCCACATTAACATTTCTCTTTATACTTTCGTTTCACATGAAATTCCTTTTTTTTAATGGTCGTATATACATATGGTTAGACATCTTTTAAAATCGAAACTTATAAGAGAATTAACTGACAAACAATGCAAATTAGACATAAGGCGGTAACTGTAGTCAAGTGCTTACAAGCCACTGCATTCATGATCAAATCATCTAACAGCTCTGGGTGGATATATCATGAACAATATTTTTTAAACTAACTTAGTTTTCTTATACTTTTATTACAAAATAGGATTACATGCATTTCAAGTTTCAACAATGACATTCATCACAGCTAGAATCAGCAATGGCCCTTGTCAGACATGTGCTGATTCAGAAGCAGGAGCTTCAGAATATGTTCACAATGTCTAGCTTCCTAATATGTTCAGAAAGTCTACCATATATACCTAAGAGAACCAGAAACGTAGCTATCTCTAAAGAGCTACCAATTTAACAATGATTCAGCACAAGAATAAAAACCTACAGAAGATATATTTTAGTAATACCTGCTGATTGCTCAGTGTACAACCCTGCTGCAGTCCAGTACTTCATGAAATTTTTCTTCACTCGCTTCATCAGATCCACTATATAATCACCTTTCTTATTGTATTTGGAACAGTTATTCCAAATGTACTGGACATCCTTGTAAACATCTTCAGAATTCATATACTTGTTGCCTTTTTCAAAATTATTGCATATTGTTCCAAAATCCATAGGTGTCTTGATGATATCAAAATAGTCCTAATCACATAACCAGAGAACAATTACAAGTGTTAGACATCAATTCTGAAACCACTCTCAAAGCAAAAGAGAATAGAAGATATCAAACGATGCCATCTTAGTGTCCCGTGGCAGGGACTAGGGAATCACACTACAATTCATTATCCATCTTTTTTAAGAGGCTAATTTAGTCAAAAATGATAAGAAGATGACAAAGTCAAGGCGTTGTCTTTCTTCTACTTTCATATTGTTAAGAAAAATGTAAATCATAAGAGGAGAAAATTTTAATTTGACAGTACCCAAAAGCCAAGGTTATCCCTAACAGACACAGACAATAAACACTGTATACTAACACAGCCATGTAATGGAGATATGTGAAACTTATCAAATGTATAGAAGAACAGTTAAGTTTTCACAACCCAAGGTTACTATGGATCAAAACATCATCCCAAAATAATGTGCCTCTATCTAATAACGATGAAGCTATCTACACTTACAGGAATCCCAAGAGCTTCAGGGTTCACAGGAACATTAAAGGGATCAGCAGCATCCATCTTCATTATCTTCTTAATCACCTAGAGCAATAAGACACCAAAATACAGTAGATGACATTAGGCATGATATTCAATTTCAAACAAAAAGTAACTATCAAGATAGATATATATTAATCTGAGCATACTGTAAGAGAATCTTCCAGTTCTTGCTTATTGTATCGTGAATTTTGATCAGTCTTCTTCTCCTCTTTCTGCAAAGAAATTGGTGTTCTTTCTGGCTCTTTCTTACTAGCTTGAGGATTCTCATCAGCCTTTTTCGTCTCCTTTTGAACTACTACTGCATCCTGAACCTTAACAGCATCCGCACTCTTCTCAGTAATCGAGCTAGACCCATCTACCGCTTTCGAAGACTTAATCTTTATACCCTTAGTTTTCCTATAAACATTCAGAAACACCGGCCTTCTCTCAGGCAAACCCGGAACCAATTCCTCCTTTTTCTCCGCAGGCTTTTCACACACCGCCTGAGAACTAATCTTACCACTATCATCGCCACGCAACGTCTCATCAGCTTCTGGTGGTTTCGAAGTCTTCAGTTTAACCTTAACACGCGCAACTGACTTGACAGCCGCAATGTTATCAGCTGGATCTAAACTCCCAGCAACAGGTGAATTACCACTCCCAGTAGAAGAAGGTCCATCAACCTCCATTTTAGATTCATGTTCACTGTTCTCACACTCAACAGGACCTTCAGAACTCTGCTCTGAGGTTCGTTCCTCCGCGTTTTCGGTTAACTCAATCAAATCCCCTTGTTCAGTAACAGACTTGGACTTTTTAGACTTCTTCCCTTTCTTATGTCCTCTTTTACGCTTCATACTCCTCACACAAAAGAGACTCCTACAAAAACCAAATCTTTGAATCTGAATCAATCAACCCATAAGGCCATGAAATCAAATTAAGATTGTTTCGATAACACAATCGTGAATCACGAAATCCAAAATCTATATATAATCGAGATTGAATAAGATTCGAATTGAGAAACAAGAGCAGAGAGAGAAATTTTACCGGAAAAGGAAACCCTAAATCAAAGTCGTGAAACCAGAGGAATCGAGAAGATCCGTCCGTGGTGGCGAGAGGAAGAAGATGAAGAGGGAAGATTCAAATTTAGAATGAAAAGTTTGGAGGGAAACTGAGATTTTTACCAAAACGAACTTAAAAACTAGACCGGCGCTTCTACTGGCTCACAAAAAATCCTTCGAACGTCACTTAAGACCCGAGACGGAGCCTTCCCGAGTTTTTAAGATTTTCAGATCTGCGAACTTTAGTTGTTACGTCGTCGTTTTACATCGTGGGCTTACCAAATGGGCCTGTTGAGATGAGAGAGTATGTTCTTTTCTTTTTGGTTCTCACTTCTCAGAGATAAAAATCTTTTTTTTTTTAAATAATTTCTAACTGTATAAAAATAAATATTAATCATAAACCTAAAGTTATTAAAGAAAAATTTAAAAATTTAAAAATATATACATATCATTCTTTTAAGTATCATAATAAATTAAAAGTGTAACTAATTTTTATTAAAAACTATATGAGTTTGGTTATTTAACTTTCTTTTTGTTAATATATGTTTCTTTTCTATTTATAACTTTATTAATTTTCATGGTCACAAATTCACAATCATGATTTTTATTACAGCAGTAAAGGAAGTTTAGAGTTGAGACAAAAATGATACAAGTACAAATATTGTTGATGTTACCATTGATTTGTTTGTTAATGTTAATGTTACTCATGTTATTGTACTGCCCACATGATTGTTATAGATTCACCTTCTACTAATGTTATACGACCTTGCAATTATCTCATTCAACTTCAACTATCAAAAGCGATTCAAACGACCTTACAAATATGCCATACAAATGAGGGAGAGGGAGTGACTCTAACCGGATCGTCAACATTGTATAAGAATTCTATGTAAATTTAGTACTGTCCAGAAAAAAACGCGAGCAAAGCACCTAAACCAAAACCGGACAAACAATTTATTTATAAACTTATTTTAAAATCAGTAAAACCAAAAATTAATAATTCACTATTAATTTCTAAAGATCATAAAAAAACAAACCAAAACCAAAAACAAAAACCGCACTGAAATTGCGGCCAATCAACCGAAAGTAAATTGAATTACAAATGTATTTAATATTTTAAACTGGAAAATATCGAAATTACTAAATAACAACATATCAAAAAACGAAAACCAGATGAGAGGTATTACTAGACAATATCGAGTAAAATTTAGGTTTAGTATTTATGTAGATGATTTTTCAGAAAAATAATTTAGATAAAATTAGGATTTACAATATTTAAATTTGACTGCTTAAAAGAAATTAAATTTAGACTTTAGTATACCATCTTTGTAACATTTTACAGAAAATAAAAGAAACAAATATTGTTTGTCAAATTATTCGTGAGAGTGCACTTGACGACACTTGAGTGAAGTGTTTTCTGATTATGAATCCATGGACCATGGTGATATATATTATTTACAAAGAGTCCTCATCAGCAGATCTTTTGCTCACAAATAGAGATTATGGCATTCTTGTTTCAACCATATAACAAGACAATACAGATTTATATGTTACATACATTACCAAAAGGGATGCTTTCTCAGACTATGCCAATGAACCTTCATGTTCGCGATATATCTCTTCCGCATGAGCTGTAGTTACATAAACTGCATTGGCGAGCGAGCTGTTTTTACGGCCGTAGAAAACATACACTATCACTCCAATTAGCAGCCATACCGATACACGAGCCCATGTCGCAGATCTGTAACGTTAGCAGCTCAAGAGATTAAAAGAAACAGTTGAGAAAGAACACCAACTATCACCAAAGGACACAGATCCACATTAACTTTTGCTTTCTTCTTAAAACTATACATACTTTCAGAACTCAACACAATTGTATGGTTACTTGTCTCATGTTTGATAGCATGTGTGTAGCTATAGAAACAAGCATAATTAAATGGTAAATGAAGACGCAAGTGAGTGAAGAGATGCGAACCCGAGGTTAACCAAGAGGTACATGTTGATGAGAATGCAAATAATCGGCAGGAGTGGGATAAACGGGCACATGAAACCTATTGAAAAAGGAATGTCCACAGAGTTTTATTACACACAAGACATATAAGGCCTAGAAGTTTATTGTGCGGTATACAGATTGTTTACTAAATCAATTATGTAGCAATACCTCCAGAATGTCCAAAAGTGTGTCTGGCATCATCCTGATCTATAGAACTGAGAGCAACCAAACCAGCAAGGAGGAGACTTCCACCAACACCACACAATGAATATCTAAGAAGCCTGTTAGCCATTTGAAATATTAGAAAGAAAGAGCTAAGATAATTAACCAATAAAAGTTTTGAGTAAAAAGATAATGATGAAAACAGACAATGTTGTGCTAACTGACCCTGGAAAGCTCAGGCTTGATGCTGCATAACTTAAAAGGAAAGCCCCAATACAGGTGAACATAATGCTCCATCCAGCAACCATCCTTCTGTTTTCTTCGCTTAGAACCCCTGCAAAATCATTGACCAGTGTGATGTTTGTGGTAAAACATGTGTGTTCTCCACAAAAATAGCTGAGCTTCGTGATGTAACTTACAACACCCTAGAGCTTCTTGATTCTTGATAACTGGGAAATCGACCGAAGCATCACTTTTGCCAATTAAAGGTTGTTGAGTGCTGCTATTGGAAGTGCCTACATGATCGGATGACTTTGTTTCACCATATATGAAGGAAACAGAATCAATCCTCTCTTGAAGAGACGAGGGAAGAGGTAGCTCATCTGGAGGAACAAATCTCAGTATCAACACTGATACTGCCACCATTGTAAATGCCAGAAGCGTCCCAACACTCACCTGCACCATCAGAAGTCCTCAAATACTTGATAACTGGCCATATAGCAAAAACGTTCCCATAGACCAGAAACTACAAAAGGAAAACAATGTCTTACCATCCCTGCAAGCTGTGAAACATCCATAAAGAATGCTAAGGTTGCCGCGCACAACCCAGTTGCCACGGTTGCTTTAACCGGAACCTGTGTGCGTCTATTAACGTCTGAAAAAAGGGAAGGCAGCAGGCCATCCCTAGCCATTGCCATCAGAATTCGTGGCTGGAAAATGAAAATAGTCATATTAAGTAACAAGCACGCACCAATGAAAACCACCTAAATTTTTCTGACAAGTAATTATAACACTGACTCGGGAGTCAAACTTTTTTTCACTGTTTATCAGTATCTAACATTGACTCTTGATACGTGTTGAGAAACTTTACCTGAGGGAGAAGGGAACCCATTAAAGCTGAGCAGAGAGCCATAACAGCTCCTAACGTTATTAAGTATCTACATCAAAGTCCAAAATGAAAACGATCAATCTAAAAAAAAAATGGCTAAGACGGTGAATTGACTGGATCTTAAACAATCATATGCTTACACAGCCCATTGCATGTCATTACTAGCGAATGCAGAGGATATCGGGGTGTCAGGATCCATTGCATAGTAAGGAATTAAACCAACAATTACAATGGATACCATCATGTAGAGAGAACAACAGAGCAAGAGAGCTAGACCAATACCAATCGGTAAATCCCGTTGGGGATTTTTCACCTGCACATAGATGTGAATAGCATTTTTCAGTACCTCTAAGTGCTTGAAAGGATGCTTAAAAGCAAACTAATAGAAAGCCTCTAACGAACATAAACTTGCAAAAAGAGTATGAATTCCAAAATTTACCTCCTCTGCTGTACTTGCAACCGAATCAAACCCAATGAATGCAAAAAAGACTGTAGCAGAACCAGCAAACATTCCATCCACTCCAAATGGAAAAAACCTAAAGGACAAATGATTAATCTTTAACTTATCTTAAACTACAATGACTGAAGTCATAGTGAATGCTCATCTTACCCTGTCGAAAGTTCATATCCAGCCCAACCTGTCTTGAAGCCCAGATAACAGCCAGCTACTATGACAAATAACAAGACACACACATTGACTGCAGTTACAATTCCCTGAGCAAATGTGCTCTGCATAGAAGATATTACCATATATGAGAATACAATTAGAACGGATTTTAAATTTATCCTGATGTGGGAATCAAAATCATATAAAGCTTGTACCTCTTTTATTCCCATGCACAAAAGGCCAGTTACAATGAACACAAGAATAGCAGCACATGGATCAACAACAACATCAAGACCTGGGATCTGGTGGCGCGCTAAAATTGCAGGCAAACCATCTTCACCACCAAAAATCAGTGCCTGCAATTTTGTTTGTCACCCACTAAGCTTTAGTGACACACAATTGTAAATGCTAACAGAATATAAATGTGAAAAAGAGATAAAATCTTCTTTATGTTTTCATTTTTATTCCATAACTTCAGTTATACAATAAGAATCCATGAGAGAGGAAGCATTGATAGTCCCCACACAGTATTCAAGCTATGTAATGTTCCTCAACTAATAGACACATCAAACCAGATATCCCATGAAAAAAGATTTCAATAGCTAGCTCATCGTCATGGAGCTTCCTAGACAGATTGATGAATTATCAAGCAAGGGCTTCATGACAGAAAAAAACCAACAAGATAAGGATTTAAAGAAGACACCATGAATCAAAACTATACTTAACGCTATCAGCAATGCCACACAAAACAGAGGAACTCAAGTAATTTGCATATTGTAAAATTGGATCAAAAGAGTACAAGCCAATAAGTTACTGACCAGATTTGGTGATATCCCACGGGCAACAGCTGACCCACCAATCGTGTATTCCAGAATCAACGCCCAACCAATTATCCACGCAACACTAGATAGCAACAAACAAAGCCCATAACTCAATAAGAAACAAATCCCCATAACTCAATAAGAAACAAATCACTATAACTAAATAAGAAACAAATCCCCATAACTCAATAAGAAACAAATCCCCAAAAAAACTCTTATAGAGATAACACAATAAGCAAGTAGTAATCATTTGATTACCCTTCACCAACACAAATGTAGGAATAGTGATAAGCACTCCCAGCTGAAGGACAACGACTAGAGAGTTCAGCATAACAAAACGCAGAAAGACCAGCAGCAATCCCAGCAATAAGAAAAGACAAAGCTAGAGAAGGTCCTGAATGCTCTCTCGCAACTGTTCCTACAAGAATATAAACTCCAGCTCCTATTGTTGCTCCAACACCTATACAAACCCCATACACAAGACTATAGTCAGAACAAATCACAATACTTTAATAAAAAACGAAACTTTTTCAATTGAGCAGACAAAAAGAATCAAACTTTAAGAAACCCAGAATCACAAAATGAATTTCACAGTTAAAAGACGAAACTTTTACACCTGAATCCTCATCAAAGGATCAAACTTTGAGAGTTCAAACAAAACCCAGAACATGAAAAAGAAAACCCTAGAGATAGAAGAATGAGAAATGAGGTTACCAATAGCAACGAGGTGAGGAACAGTGAGGGCTTTAGCGAGCTGAGGACCCTGAGGTTTACCATTAGCAGAGTCAACTTGTTTCCTTCTCACCAAACTCCTAACGTAACCCCATGAATGTCCACCTCCTTCCTTTTGCGTATCCACCAAAAAACCCATCAATCAATCAAAACACACAAATCTCTCCAAAACTATCTTCAACAGAAGAAGAAGAAGAAGAAAGAAGAAGATTCAAAATCTGCCTGCTCGTTCCCTGAGATTTGACTTTTACAAAAAAATGAAATCTTTCTCTTCTCAAGAACAAAGAAGCGGGCAGAGATTATTAATAAATGTTTTTGTTTTCTCTCTTTCTCCTTTATTTGTTCTTCGTCTTCTGTTTGTGTTTTATGGATTGAGAAAGGAAAGTGATTTTGATTGATTGATGAAATGAAGGAAGAAGAAGAAGTTTTGTGTTTGCGTATAGAAGTAGAAAGATGAAAATGATATAAAATTAGTAAAGAATAATAAGAAAATATTTAATTTGTAACGTGAAAAAACGAGCCACTGACAAAAACGTTATCCGAATCGCCTCTTCCAAAATTGTTTGGGTCAAAACGTGTTTCTTGCCGTTTCGACAAACTTCCAAGTTTTCGTCGGCCAATCTATCTTTTTCCTCTGCCCTAAAATGTTTACCGGTTTGATGACTTTGAAACCATTGTTACCACTTATCAGTTACTTACCACCTCTATTAATTAAAATTATAAATATACAACAAAAAAATACTAATTAAAAAAATCTGTATAATATTTTACAAAAATTCAAAATTATACGATTTTTCACTTAAAAACTAAAATACTTTTTGCAAAAAAGTACATCTAGAAAAGAGCATTAGTATAGGATTTTTTTTTGGAATTTCAGAAATACACCTTTTCGATTATCACTTTTCAAAAATATCTTTTCAAAAAATTTTATTAAAAAAGCCACAAAAATGTTGAAACTTATCCAATTTGTGTGTCGATTTATAAATATATACACAAATGACTTTTATATAAATGTAAAAAATTATAAAATATTTCACAGATACCATAAAAAACATTATAAAAACTTTAAGAAAACTTTATAAACATTTTAAAAGCCGTGTAAAAATGATTTAAGACCTTATAATTATTTAGGTGGAATCCCTAAGTAGTATTACTATCTAGAAGTATCTTAAACCATATAAAATTTTATAATTTCTCATAATTAAAAATGATATTTTTAATTATGGATAGAAGAAAGAAGTATTTTTGAATAGGGTACATCAAAAGAGGCATTTTATCACAAATTCTCTTCTTCTTTTTTTTTTTTTTTAAATTACAAACAAAAGGTTTTTACAATATGAATTATTTGAATAATGGATTTTATTATTTTATCCATACGTATACAATGGTGAAAATAAGAAAATAATTGTCTTGTTTATTTCTGAATAATATTATAGTATTGTCACAATTTTTTAACTATGTTAAAAATATCTTTAGTATTCATATATTGTTATTATCAAATACCTCTTAAAATACAGTTAAGATTATCCAAAAAATATTTGTTTTTATTAAATAATAACAATAATATATTGGTAATTTTTTTTTTCCATCAGCTAGATTCAAACTTGGATTTGGTAAATGTGAGTACCATCGACTCTTTCACTCTTTTATAAAAAACTATCTAAATTTAATATAATATAATATTTCTATCGTTTCAATTTTTTTTTAGAATTATAGGATTATGCAAATTTTATAGGATTATAGGATTATGCAATGTAATTTTTAAAGATTTTAGCATTATACAATGTTTATTATCCACTTCATTGGAATAGTTGAACATGATGCGACAGTAGAAGGGTTTTTGTGTAGATGTTATTTGACTTCAGCTTGTATCTTCGTCACTATTTTGTTAATGTTATTTAACTCTTCATTTGTTGTCATTGTTGTTATTTTTCTTTGTCAAAAGGTTCTTAGAAAATTGAAAATTGAATTTTTTAGATTCAAAACTTATGAAAAGTAAAATTGAAATAATACCTTGACACAAAATTTGTACAGTTTATACAAGTGATGATACCAGTCTTTTTTATCCTGAGATTCAGATAAGTGATGATATTGTTATAGTCATTTTTCTAGGCTTTAACACTATTAATAAAAAGTTAAAAACGAATCACCTAAAGTTATAAAAAAATTTCCAAAATGTTTATTGTCAAAAATAAAGAGCTACATATTTTAAAATGATGTATAGAACATAAAATTAGAGAATAGTAATATAAATATAATAATAAACTTATTGAAATAAATAAATTAACATTTTTAAAGAAAATACCGTTATTATCAAATTCTAGTCTACACTAACAATCTACAACATTAAATATAAAATTAAGACAATAAGTTTGCGTTTTTTTAATAACGTATATTGTATTGTTTTGTGATCTCCTTGTTTTAAAAATAAAACTAGGATGTCAACCTAACTTTTTTTTTACAAATTAAGGAACTTCTTAGAAGATACTCTTCATCTTTTTCTAAGTTCTAATAAATTATTCTATTTCCTCTATATTTAATAAAATTCATTGGAAAAGTATAATGAGAATTATCTGGCTACTAATTTTGAATCGAAAATGATCAACAACACTATTGGTGATATAAAAGTTCAAAACAATCTTATAATGCCACTTAATTTACATATTGTGCATTCCTACTTGCAAACTTTGGTGTTGTTTACACACAATTCGATCTTTGTTTCCCTATTTAGTTCATGTGTGTTGCGCTTTACCTTCTTCTATAAGAAGATGGACCATAGCTTTGACGACTTCGTTGTGGACAATACCTGATTTCTGAGAAACACAAACGTAAAGAGAGAGAGGAGACTTTAGTCCTAGGCTACTTACTTCACCAACTAGATCAAAACAAAGGATTGAACATGTAACCTCAGGTTTTCGAATGAGATTTTTGAGAATGGAATGGAGTGTTAACCGTAGCTCTTTGAACAAAACCGCGGTTTGAGCTGGTGCTGTTAGCTTTAACCACCCATCAATAGTGACTGATCCACTCTACAATTCAATGCAAGGTAAGGTTTTAAGGTCAAGAGCCATATATAGAGCATCTCAAATCATTTCTGAAACATGGGACTAAGACTTTAGCTAAGTGTCTTTAGAAATAATCAACATTACCTGATGATGAACATTGACAGAGCCGCCAAAAAGTAGAATGGAGAATGGAGAAACCACAGTTGTATCTTGTAGATATACCGATTTCTTTCTTTCGGCCTAGAAGAACAAAGAGAGTTGTATATACTATCTTTGATTAGCTATGTTTGCATATTTACACCATAATCTGCATTCAATCAATTTCTGAGGCACATAAACCAAACCCAAATGCTTTAAATATGGAAAAAGAAGTCACCTTATCATGGAACGCAATGAAAGGATATTGAAAGGCTTTGCATTTTTTGTTTATAGAGGTTCGATGGATATGGACTTCTCTTTTGCCATCATGCCATACTGCATAACGCTGTGTTTCGTTTGCTGGCCTTGTTAAACGATTAACTAATCCCTCTGCGATATTCGGACATAGTCCCGCGCATAATATAGCCTGTTCAAATTGGAATTTGAACTCAGGTACAGACAAAATAATAACTGACTATCCACAAAAATTAGAGATAAAACTAGAGCCAAGGTGCATCAGATGTATACTTTACCTTAACAACTTCAGGTTCTTGTGAATACATATTGAAAGGTTGAGTTTTGTCAGAAAACCAAACATCAAGATTCTCCTTCCTTCTTCCCTAAGAAAAAAATGTAAATTACTAATCAGTTTTCATTAAACAAACATGGGCTCTTCTGCCCAAACTAATTAAAAATTTAACATGATGGAACTTGATGGCTTTTGATGCATGAGTCTTCCATATAAGAGAAGACACATATGTTCTTTAAGCGTATGCAATCAACAGTTGCGATGTTGTAAGATAACATACCTCGCCTGTTTTAGGAACACTGATGAGCCCGATGTCGGCAAGTAAAGTGCCAAACTCTTTTCTCAAGTCGCTGTTATTTGTGAAAAAGCAGTAAATAAGACTTGAAGGATGAAGAAAAATGATGTAAGCATGTTGTTAAAACAGGTTCAGCTAAGACATATATTCAAGTTACTGAACAAGAAACCAGAACAAGATAGTTCCATTTTCCATTTTTAACACTACCTAAGATTAAAAGGCAGTGGAAAGCATGTTAACTCAGTATAGAACCTCAAAGTGAATGATGCAACCTTTTTTCCATCAAAGTACTAAGAGGTCACCTTTTCTACATTATTTTTGGAAATCTTTGTAGACAAGTTATAGCATCAAAGTACAATGTACCTCACTGACTGCATCACTGAGCTGCTTAAGAACTTTGAATCACAGAACCTCTCTGCAGCTTGCATTCCTTGCTGAAGACATTACAAACACATAAAGACATTTAGTTTGGAGAAGATCCTAGCTTTCTTATGTGTACATAACGAACTTTGGACAGTAAGAGGCAGCTTGAGATACCGTTATATTACATACCTCATGCAGTACCTTCGCCCATTTTTCGTATGCAATCATCATAAGGAGGTGATCAGATTGCCTGTCATTGTTGTTTAAATTACTCGAACTATCCAGCTTATCAGACAAAAGAGCAAGTTTCACCCCGTTGACATTTTGCTTCTAAGAAAATAAAAGCAAAAACATAGATTCAGTTGAGAACATCCTTGCCAAAATAGCCAAGTTCTAAGGAAAGGGAAAAAAACGTACCTCATCATTGGGATGTATAAATGGCGATTTGCAGCTCAAGAAAGCAGCAATAGAGAGAATAGGTGATAAGCATCCAAAAATGGCACCATATAATAGCATCTGCATTGTTTAAAACAAGTAGTGATTATATGAGACTACTTGTTTTGAGAAGAGGAACATATATTTTAGTGCAGCAATAATGTTTCTGAAGCAAACCTTTCCAATCAATATATCAACAGGAATTTTTGCTAAATGATGTCCAAGTGGTGTCAACTCTTCGTCCCCATCAAGAGCACCGACCTAAAAAGTCATGGTTCATTAGGAAAGCTCAACACAGGTCACTCCAAAAGGTGTATACATATAGTTTTACTTAGTGGTACTAAAATAGGTTGAGAAAACATAAAGTAGAGAGAATTCTAAGTGTAACAAACTCTAAAAGACTATACTTTAACAATGGAAATGAGATTGATTAGCCACACTGCAGGACAATAGCAACACCTCAACTATATATCCAAGTGAAAGGTCTCATAAGTCATAACTTTAGGATGTATCAGGAACTAATAACGCTTACAAAATTAAAAAATCTTATCCAATACAAGTTCACGGTACCTTGTGCAACGATGAAATTGCAGAGTTTATAGCACCTTCACTTGGAGGTTCCAAAGCCTAAAGACAGTAGTACTTAGCGACGAAAGAGTAAGAAGATGATATTGTTACTTCTTTTGGAACTAAAAAGTTGGTGTCACTTGCCTTGTGCAGAAAAGGCTTAATGTGACCCAAGCCAAGCAATTTGATTTGTAAACACAGCTCTACCAAAGGCACCCGCAGGATCTCAGGAACCTAGTCATCAAGACGACACCGGTGAGTTTAGGGACAAAAACCAAGTGGTCGAGAAACAGGAGAAGAAACATCAAAAAAGAAAGACACCTGATAAGGACGCATGAGCTTCTCAAACCTATGGCGAGTGTATAACGAAAAACAATGTCCAGGTTTGACACGTCCAGCTCTTCCCATTCTTTGTCTTGCATTTGCTTTAGATATCCAATCTTCCACCATGCTTGTCAATTTCTGTGATGATACAATAATTGAGTACCAAAAGATGACATCTCAGACACAAAACACAATAATCACGAAGCAACAATGTGTCGTGAATAGCGTTGATACTAGTACAAGGAATCAAACATCATCATAAAAGGTAAATGTTATCTGATTCACTAGCATTTGAAGTACCTTCTGTGGATTATAGCGTCTTTCCTTGTGTTTTCCACTATCAATCACATATACCACATCTTCAACTGTTAAACTGGTCTCCGCAATATTAGTAGCTACGATAACCTGAACATAAAAGATGATGCAAAAGGCAAATCATATCGGGTAGGGGTCAGTATAATTTATGGAAAAGATCTTTCACAAAATGGGATTCAGCAATCTTATGATAGACAAAGAAGATAAATCATAAACCTCTTTTACCTATATGTTATCAAGTTTGTGAATGTTCCTTTCATCAAGTCATTATGAATTTAAGATGACAACTTTATGTTATGCAGGGACATGTTAACTTTTAACCACCAGTGATGTTAGTAATTGTACAAATCACTTATGTTCAATTAGTAGTGGAAAACTAAAGAAGCAAAACAGTTACACATTATAATTATTTTTCCAATAGACAATATGCAAAAGCAAAGACACTAAAGATAAAGCCATACAATTTGCTCATATGGAACAAAAGGATCAAAAGTGACTGCTAACACAGATTCAAAGACAAGTCACTGAGGGAACGAGAAGTACCACAAAATATAGATAATTAGATGTCATAGGATATTACCTTCCGTATGCCTTTAGGGGGATGCAGAAACACCTTTTTCTGTTCTGAAGATGCAATATAAGAATGTAGAGGAAGAAGCCAATCTCCAGAAGGTCCACGAAAACGATAGGAAGCAGCTAACCTATTGAGTAGCATGTTAATTTCTGACGTTCCCTGTCATTAACCAAAAAAGCGTCATGCTGAAGCAAAATATATTCGTTCTCAATCAATAGCAAAAAATCTTAGTATCAGCTTACAGGCAAAAATACAAGAATGGCTCCTTCCTCACAAGTGTCATCAATGTGGCATATCAACTCTTCAAGAAGGTCATAGTCAATAACATCTTCATTTAACCATTTCTGCATAGCACTTGCAAGTTATTTGGACTCAAGATAACTATGTCGACAAGAGAAACAAAAGATAAAACGCGAAAGGGCAAAGTACCATATTTTTTCGCGTTTGGTCACTGTAAGATTCGTAATTACTAGAATCATAAGACAAGTTAAGACCATCCTCTGAAACCAAATAATTGTCTCCCCAGCCAGCCAGCATAAGATTCTTTTTCCCCCTATGGACTTTTAGAGAACCAAGCTGCAGAGATTGAATCCATGTATTAACTACACAACATCCAAAGTTTCAACTATGCAATCTAAATGAAAATTTCAGTAGAGCATCGCTAGAGAATTATATACCTTCTCTGAGATGGAAGTATCAGCACTTAGCGCAGCAGGTGAATCTGATGCTAGAAGGTACTTAGTCCTCTCAAAAATGTCCTCCAGAAAGTAAGTAGTAACCGGGTGTGTTCTTCCTTGAGCAGTAATCACAGGACATTGACCAAAATATCTTGAGAACTGATTAGCATCAACAGTAGCAGACCTGAAAGAGCATCAGACATATGAAAACATACAGTATATAGTGCTTACTTAGTATTTAATATTTAATATATATGCCATAGGAAAACAAAAAAGTTGCAAAAACATACATAAGGATAACTTTTAGTTTGGGTGATGTATTATCCCAGGATTGCTTCTCAATCAGGCTCTTCAAAATAATGAGAAGAAAATCACTCTGAAATAGCAAAAAAAATAGTTTTATCAGCCATCAGTTGTACTTTCTTATAAGAATGTTACCAAGAACAATGTTAATTTTCTGAAAAAGGTGAGAGTAACACTTATAATTGACCACTAAGAATTTCGACTTCGCCGGTGTAAAATGATTATCTTCGCAGTCTTCTGCATTAGTTTCATTATACTAAAGTGTCTTCAAGTGTATATTCTAGAAGTAATGCTAAAACATTGTTTCCGTTGCTAACAAGATTTTGTATAATTGTATTAGTGATTGACTAGATTATCTTGCATGGATCCGTTAGCATAATCCTTAGCTATGTGTCTATGTTCCTTAGCAAAGACGAAAAAACCAAAAAATTCACATACATATTTATGGCTAAGTTAAAGAATACACACCAGATGAGACCGCTCATGCACTTCATCGACTATGATATGTGTAACATCTTTCAAGGTTTTATCCCCCTGCAAGGTTTTCACAAACGAGCAGATAGAAAGAAAAATAAAGATTTAGTGTGGTTTTTTTCAGTTATGCTAAACAGTGTAGCACTGTAAGGGCTTACTAACAAAATAGGGGACGTACCACAAGTTTCCTCAATAGAATTCCAGTTGTACAAAACATCAGCCTTGTTTTCTCACTCCTGAAAATGTACACAAGAAATTATTGCATCAGCCTTCAACCAGATTTTAAAATTATACTAACAATCACATGTTGAAGTTAAAGAAGCCAAAAACACAGTATACAAGCAGACATAGTTGAATGGGCTCATAAAACTATAGAAAAATTCTTCAATTAAAGAGACAGACCTTGCAATTTTATGACGAACTTGATAACCAACCAAGGAGTCATTGAAGCCTGGAGGGGGTTCACAGCGTTCATCAGCAACTCTTTGAGCAACAGAGATAGCCTAAAACCATATTTATTCAGTCACTTACAGAAAAAAAAAAGTATAAAGCAAACGAACTATTCCTGAAAACATGATATTTTAACACTGAGATAATCACCGCTAACACCCGAGGTTGTGTGCATATAATGTTACAGTATCCACCATTCCCTGAATCGATCATATCATCCAATATAAATTGAGGAACCTGAAATAATGTATCAATTAGAAATGACTCATAGCTAATGGCAGAGGAAGATGTATTCAGCAAAATAGGAAGCAACTAACGAGACCAAACCTGTGTAGTCTTTCCAGAGCCTGTTTCTCCACATACCACCAAGACATCTTTTTCTTTCAGTTTTTGCAGTATGTCATTCTTCACTTCTGATATAGGAAGAGCAGCTCTAGTTTTCAACATCCCCTACAAACGAATAATAGGATTACTAATGAAACCTGCAGTAACAAAGGTTTCACCATGCCGATAAGATAACAAATTAATACGTTCCTAACTAGAATGAGCCAACTTATGCTTTAAGCATATAACTGCAAAGTATCAAATTGGGTATGTGAACTTGTGATCATCCACAAACAAGAATATTTTACCTTGTACTTCTGCATCTTCTTCTTGTTTTCTTGTTTTCTTTTGAGAGAAGAACATTCAGCTTCCATGGAGGAGTTTCCTATAACATATCATACAAGAGATTATACTTCCTGCTTATGTTTTTGGCACTAAAATCCAGGGTCGAATGATTCAACTTGAATCCAAGAAACATACTTTTAGCTCTATGGTTAGATTTGACAACATCCAAGTCATCATTCTCTTTGACACAGAAGTCTACCACTGGAGGTGCACCATGTATGCCACTCGAAGAAGTGGCCAAGCTGAAATTGTCTGCCTCAAGCAATCTCTCAACAAACTTTACTCTCCGTTCTTCTTCTTTGCTTTGTATTCCCAAAGATTCCTCTGTGAAAGCTCAAAGAAACTCGTTTAAGAGGTGATCATAATATTGCATCCATTTAAGACCAGAACACATGAATGCTGACATGCAAAATATGTCAAAACAATTAGCACCAACTTTATAAATTCACCTTGTTTCCATATCAAAACTATAGAGGCATAGGGCTCAGTAATTGCAAAGTGAACGGGCAAATCGGGAAAGAGCTTATGGAGAGCAAATGCTGCAACTCTGTTTTGTGCATCCTGTCACACACACGTGCACAATAATGATCCATTAACTGGACACTTGTTTAGCATCTTAGAAAAGATTATCAAATGTACCTCGACTGATTCGAAACCCTCCACTTGATGAGGAAGTTGAATAGTTACCAGACCCCCGGCTTGTCTGCTTTTACCCACTCCACTGGATTTACGCATAACACTTATGGTATATGAGAGATTGCTTCCTTCCACAGTTACTTTATTGAACTTTGGCGCGATCCACCCTGACCTTTGACACAGCTGATGGAGCAATGCCTTAGGGATCTTTTGCGCGTCACCCTATATAGCTTTTAACTTTTAAAAGTGATAGTTGAACAAAAGAAACATACCTATGTGACAAAGTGACAATAAAAAAAAAACGAACTAAAAAATTGCTAGAATAGGTAATTCTATATCTAACTAACATATGTAGAAATCTACTTCTTGATTATAATGACAGCATTTGTGGCAAAGCGACAAATGAAGAAGCAAGCATATGTACGATAAAAGCATCAAACACTAATTAGTTACAATTGTAATTTGAAAGCAAACATATCTCCTAGGATCTTGTTAGTTTAAGAGTTACCTTTTTCCAGATACCATTTAGTTTCCCAAGATTTTTCTCATTGCATAGTTCTCTCCTAATTTCCTTCTTCTGTAATTCCAGGAGTTCATGGGGAGAAGGTACATAAGGCGGAACATCTTCTGAGAAGAAATCGTCAAGGTCCATGTCATCTAAAATATCATTCACCAAAACTGATTCTTGGTGAATTTCCTTAGATATACAGCTCCTAACAGGAATTGCATCCAATGTCAACTCATCAAACAGCTGAAAAAAGAACGTCTCAGCATCTACTGACTCATCAACATCATCACGCGTGGAGGAGGTTACTTCTTTCTCCTTAGTGTCTCCAAAAGCTTGAACACGCTGAAACTCAGATTCCAATATTGCTTCTGATGGCCCTGGAAAACAAACACAAGATAGATCATGACATACTGCACCACCAAGTCATTATTGACAGATTGAAATACTAAAAAAGAGTTAAACTTAACCAAGAGCTTTCATCTCTTTCTTGAGCTTGCAAATGGCTAGGCCTGCTTGCATCTGCCCACTTTTATCACCCTTCCTCTTTGCTTCTATAGCATTACATCTTTCTAAACAATATTCTTCGGCAATCACTTCGAAAGGCCTTGGACCAGATTCCTAAAATGGTAAAGTAACAGAATTAGTAAGTGCTCAACTAAACTTAACAAACATGTATCACTTAAAAAAAGTGACAAATAAATTAATAAAATATCTCCAATACTTAAGTGAAGTCTCTAATTCCAAAAGCAGACTAATCATTAATTAATAAGCTTCACCCCAAGTGTTACCTCCTTGCTGGAGCCAATGTTATCTTCCTCATCGTCCGATTCTTCCTGAAAATTTAGTTCAAAGAACAACTCAACTGTGATTTTCAAATCCTTGAGATCAAAGTATAAGACTTTTGGAAAATGGTTGAAGCATTCTATATTCCAGTTACCTCTTCTAGTCTTTTCATGTACTGACGGATCCAATCAGCTTGAGATGATTTGCAAGAACTAAGAGTATCATCGTCATCTCGCTTGCTCTTAACTCGAACTAAAACTTCATGTTCATGCTCCTCCTCCTTCTTCACCAGGACTGATGATGATTCAGATGATTCAACAGACACATTCCAATCTTTCTTTGATTTCGATACCACCGCCACAGAACGTCCTGAAAACATCAATACAGCATTAATACGCGAAAAAATAACGTAAGTTTCCCGGAGAGTATGACAAAAAACATACCTGTATTAGGAACTCGAGAAGCTCCGTTAGAAAAATTCACTGGTAACTCGTGACTCTGCAAGTTTAAACAGAGCCAATCAAGAGCTGTCTCAAGCGTCGCTCCATCCTTCATCACAAAACAAAACACTTTATATTTCCGGACACAAACTTCAAGAACTGTACGGACAAAAAATTCAAGAACTGTACGGACAAAAGGCGAGAGTTAGTTACCCTAAGAGAGGAGAGAGCGAGTTCAATCTGATCATCTAAAAACCCTTCACAAGAGAGAGACTCGTAGAGACTATTGAGTTTCTTTCTCTTCTGACTCACAGAGAGCGACGCCGTGACCGGAGAAACGCTCCGGCGAAAGTTGAGTAAGAGTCGCCGTAAACGGTCTTCGTTTTCCGGCGAAATCAGAAGCTTTGGGGGTTTAGATGGTTTCTTGTGGGATGAATTAGGTATTGAAGAAGCAACTTCGTTGTTGCTTTGTTTATTCGGAGTTTTCTTCTTCGGAGCCATTTCTCTCTTCGTCTTCCCCGATCAGTATAGGAAGGAGAAGAAACTGTTCATTTTTTCAATTTTAGGTTTGGAGCCAAAATTTTAAAAACTGCATTTCAACATTTGCCCAAATTTTATAACTATTTTCCAATTTGACATATACTTTTTAGAAAGACGTTATCCAACACATTCAAAATAGGGTGTTTTTTTGTTTAACATTCATTCATCTATTTCAAATCAAATAAACATCCATAATACAACAACCTCAAGTAAATCCAAAAAAAAAATCTACACATTTATAACAAAATATCAAAAGAATAATGAAAAAGGTAATTTTCACGATATTTTGGTTATTATCTCTTGTAAGTTTGGGCGTTTCAGATATGGTTTATTTCCGAATAGATTTATTTAGTTCCAGGTAGAGAGGTTTATGATCCATTCAAGTATTTTAGAATTTTAGTTCGGTTTAGGACATTTCAAGTATCTGTCATTTTCAGTTAACGCGTTATTTCATCGAATTACACGTGATAGCATAAAACCTCCCTTTAACATGTTACTTTCTTGTATTACACATTATTTATAAAGATCACATATGATTTCTTCCAAAAAGACATTATTCACATTATCTTTTTGTACAAACATGTCTTTTTTGTAAACCACACTAAGTTTTGACAAATAACATGTTACAAAAGTTTTTAATGAGATTTTTCCCATAATAAACAAACCCCTATAGGAAACGTATTTTTATGTGGTTCACTTTTAAATTTGTCAATGAGAATTGTTTCTTCTTTTTTTTTTTTGGTGGAAATGAGAATTGTTTCTGTACAAACAAATTTCTTCTTTTTTTTGATGACTATGTTTAACATGGAAAATGACAAATTATGAATTTTAATAGAAACCATTCAGGTACTCATCACATAAAAACCCTTAAAGAAAAGCTCAAGATTGGTACTTGTTTTTGGGGACACTTGATTTTGTTAAATTTCAGGTCTCGTTCACCATTTTCCCGGGAAAGTATATTTCTTACTTGGTGTCTTGTAAATATAGACAATTGAGCTCTGGGAATCTCAATTGACTTACCTAAAACTGAAATTATTAGCTATGAAAGACACCTTAGTATCAACATTGTGGCTTATACATTGTTCACCTTCAAATATTGGTGAGTTACAGACAATTTGGTATTCCTTTTTAATTCATGTGTGTTGCGGTTTGCCTTCTTCTATAAGAAGATGGACCATAGATTTTACGACTTCATTGTGGACAATACCTGATTTCTGAAAGAAAGAAAAAACAAACGTGGTGAGGACTGAGGAGAGATTAGTCCTGACTCATGAGCTACTTATGAAAACAAGTAGATCAAACAAAGGATTGAATGTGTAACCTCGGGTTTTCGGATGAGATCTTTAAGAATGGAATGAAGGGTTAACCGGAGTTCTTTGAACAAAACCGCTGTTTGAGCTGGTGCTGCTACCTTCAACCATCCATCAATGGTGACTGATCCACTCTGTAATAAAATATAAAAGTTTTAAGGTAAATAGCACATAGATTAAGTATCCAACATGCACCGTATAAATCAAACCAAAAGCCATATATATAATATCCACCAGGCATCGTCAAATTGTTTCCGAAACATAGGTACCCAAGACTTTTTGAAGAGTTCGAAGACATATTAGACATCAAGACCCAAGATCTCTGAGAGAACACGATATGGTTAACTGTACCTGATGATGAACATTGATTGAGCCACCAAAAAGTAGAATGGAGAAAGGAGAAACGATGGTTGTATCTCGCAAATATACTTTGTTCGTTTCAACCTACAAGATACATATTTACCCATGATTAGATGGCTACTAATTAACATCAGAATCTGCGCAGTAACATCAAATTGAATAACAAGTTAATACCAAACTACCATAAGAATTAAAAGTAAAATCACATGATTCACATATTAAACCTCAGGTTACCTTCTCAAGGAATACAAGGAAAGGGTATTGGAATGCTTTGAAGCTGCTGTTTATAGAAGATGGATGGATATGAACTTCTCTTCTGCCATCGTACCATGCCGAGTAGCTCTTTGTTTGGTTTCCTTGCTTTGTCAAACTGTTAAACGCTGTCTCTGTAATTCCTTTATCATTGGCTGCTATATTAGGATATAGTCCTGCGCATAGTATAGCCTGTACATATTGACAGCAGAATTCAGTTACCCACCACATAGATACTGACATAGAACCTCTTTTATAATTGTAGTATAGATCCTTGGCAACACGAGAAAGTATCCGAGCAGAAGAGCACCAGATGTACTTTACCTTAATAACTTCACGTTGTTGTGAATACATATTGAAAGGTTGACTTGGGTCAGAAAACCAGACATCAAGATTCTCCTTTTTTCTCCCCGAAAACTATGATAATAAACAAAGAGATTCCTGATAAGATTTCATAACATAAACCTACTGCCTTCTTTCTGCCCAATCTTACAAATATGATGAACCTCATTGAGCTATTTCAATGTTCTGATAAGATCAGACTCATGCGTGTTATGCATATGCAAATATATTCAGATGGGGTTAGATAAGCTACCTCTCCTGTTTTAGGAAGATTGATGAGCCCGATATCGGCAAGTAATGTGCCAAATTGTACTCTCATGTCTCTGATAATTGAAGGATGAAGACAGTTATGGCTTTCGTTCAGCTTAGAAAATAAATTTCAGGGGCTCGTGCATATAATGAAAAAGTTCCCACTAAGACATAGGTTAAGTTACTTTAACAAATGACTATTATTTTCCGTTAAGCTACTACTAATACAGTTTCCAAGTTTGCAAGGCTAAAGCATATTAAATCATTGTTTAGCTTTCTAAATTTTCCAAATAGTGAGTTAGGAGACCTCAAAACCGAAGGTTATTACCCTAAATAAATATCAAATTTTCAATAATTTTATGGAGATTTGTTGTAGCCAAGTTAAATGTACCTGATCATCCGCATCACTGAGCTGCTCAAGAACTTTGATTCACAGAACCTCTGTGCAGCTTTCATTCCTCGCTGAAGACATCACAAACACAAAGAGCATATCATTATGCTGATAAATGCTGTGCTAAAATGGAAAGGAGATAAACCCATTATCAGCGGATTTCAATCCATCCATGCTTTATTCAGTTGTTCAATAAACAGCTCATTTATCCCTTTTATCACATACCTCTTGCAGTATCTTCACCCATTTATCGTATGCAACCATCATAAGGAGGTGATCAGATTGTCTGTCATTGTTGTTTAAATCACTCGAGCCCACCACATTGTCAGACAAGAGAGCAAGTTTCACCCGGTCGACATTTTGTTTCTAAGAACATACCATTAGTCAACAACTTCCATGTGCAAATCACCCAAGTTCAGAGAAAGTAAAAATATACCTCATCTTTGGGATATATAAACGGTGATTTGTAGCTCAAGAAAGCAGCGATTGAGAGAATAGGTGATAAGCAACCAAATATTCCACCATATAACAGCATCTGCAAAATTTCAAACATATAGTCATGATGATGAAAAAAATTGCAGGATGCTCTCTCTTGTTACCAACATCATCAACCATGAAGTTGAAAAGTAGGCAATATTTTTCTTAAGAATGTGAAAGAGGACACACGATGAGAAGTGTCCTAAGGCCTCCAAATTGAAAATATTAAGGTGCAACAGTAATGTTACTGAAGCAAACCTTTCCAATCAACACATCAACAGGAAGTTTTGCTAAATGATGCCCAAGTGGTGTCAACTCTTCATCCCCTTCAACAGCACCGACCTAAAGAAGACAGGTTTCACACGAGAAAGCTTAGCACAAAAAAAACTCACAAAGGTATGCAAAACTCTCTTTTCTAATTTAAGATCTCATCAATCTGAACTAAAATGAGGGGTTCAGAAAGCATAAAGTATACCCTAAGCTACAATGTAAAGAAGATAAATCAGCCACACTGCAGGACAGCCTCAAACACATCCAGCTATATGCCCAAATGACAGGTTGGATGTATCAAATATGACTGATCTCAGGAACTTAGAGTTCTACATAAATAAAAGAGTTATATCCATTACATATTTACCTCATGTAACAATGAAATCGCAGAGGTCATAGCACCTTCACTCGGAGGTTCCAAAGCCTAAAGCTAGTGAATGTAAAATCAGAATCACATGGATGATAATGTTATTTGGTTTCACTAAAGATGGTGTCACTTGCCTTGGACAGAAAAGGTTTAATGTGACCCAAGCCAAGCAATTTGATTTGTAGACATAACTCTACTAATGGCATCCGCAGCATCTCAGGAACCTTGAAATAAGTGGAAATCGATGAGTTAAATGGCTAAGACCAAGTGAACAAGTGACCAGGAAAGAACTTATTGAAAACACCTGATAGGGACGCATTAACTTCTCGAACCTATTGCGTGTGTACAATGAAAAGCAAATACCAGGTTTGACACGTCCAGCTCTTCCTGTTCTCTGCCTTGCATTTGCTTGAGATATCCAATCTTCCACCATGCTCGACAATTTCTAAGATGATAAAATAATTGAAAACAAACTGACATCTCAGAGACAAAACACAATAATCATGAGGCAATCATGCAGATATATACGACAATGTAATCAAAGAGAGCTTATATATGCAGGGAGCTTTTGGTTCAATATGGAGAACTGAAAAGTAATTTCAAGGGACAGGTTAATAGATATCTCAAAATAACGGACACCAATCTTAACAAAAAGGTTCATAGTGAAGGGGTTGCTTACTAACTATAAAATGTGCATAATGTTCAACTCATATTCAGAAACAGTTATGGATTTCAAAGGGGGGAAGAAACAAACATAAAACTGGATCTTGGTCTAGAAGCATCGTCGTACAGGGACAATGTGAATTCAGAATACCTTCTGTGGATTGTAGCGATTTTCCTTGTGTTTGCCACTGTCAATCACATACACCACATCATCAATTGTTATACTGGTCTCTGCAATATTTGTAGCTGCGATAACCTGAACATAAGAGATAATGCAAAAGAAAATCAGATCAGCTTTGCAGAGGTCCATGCAGCTTTTACTGTATATTATATACACATAATACAACTTTCAACATAAACAATACTGATGTAAAGACAAAAAAAAAAAAAAAAAAAAAACCAATAGTGAGGATGTATTCCTTAAGTTAACATGAAGACAAAAACATAATTATTTTTTGATGCTATTTATTGTCAATATCACTCGAATTCATTTGCTAGTGAGAATCAAAGTAAATAAATAGTAGCACGAAATGAAATGAAACTCTTATAACCAAAAGAAAAATGTATTAATATTCAACACACTAAAACTAAAGCACCTAACAAGTTTAGATTGATTTCCTCCAATAGAGAACATGTAAAAGCAAGAAATTAAAGACAAAGCCATTAAACTAATCATTTGGAAAAAAATGGATGAAAAATAACTCATATCTAGGAGCGTAGACATTTGAACCAGAGATAGCAATTGTGCAACATATTATATTGGATGTCACATGAAATTACCTTCCGTATGCCTTTAGGGGGACGCAGAAACACCTTTCTCTGTTCTGTAGATGCAATAGAAGAATGTAGAGGAAGAAGCCAATCTGCAGCAGGTCCACGAAAACGATACGAGGCAGCTAACCTATCGAGTAACATGTAAATTTCTGACACTCCCTGTTGTTAACCAAACGATGTCAAGCCAAACCGATAGAGAGGATAAGTGAATCTAATTAACATGAAATATCTCAGTATCAGCTTACAGGCAAAAATATAAGAATTGCCCCTTCCTCACAAGTGTCATCAATGTGGCATATCAACTCTTCAAGAAGCTCGTAGTCAATTATATCCTCATTTAACCTTTTCTGCACAATACTCACAAGTTGTTTGGACTCAGAATAACTAGGTGCATAAGACGACCAGGATAACTAGGTGAACAGAAGCTCAAAGTGAGCGTACCAGATTTTGTTGTGTTTGGTCACTGTATGAGTTGTAATTACTGGAAACATAGAATGGGTTGAGACAGTCCTCAGACAGCAAATAATCATCTCCCCAGCCAGCCAATACAAGATTCTTTTTCCCCCTACGGTCATTTACGGAACCAAGCTGCAGATATCAAATCCATTTATTAACTATACATTATCCACAGATTCTCCAATGCAAACTAAATGAGAGTAAAATAACAGTTAAGTCCGAATTTCAAAATCATATAACACACATGTAATCAAAGGCATTCACATATTTAAATCATGGAAATGCAAAGGCCATTCAATGTTGGGTGATAATATACTAGTCCTTCAACGTGGACGTATACTTTCTCTGCAAATAGTATAAGATTATCCATATGAACGAAACATCACTTGGGTAAAAAATGTTTCCCAAACACAAAATTTGAAAGAAAACTCCTTGAGCAAGAAGTAAAAGTGCCTAAGCAGCTACATCCATCTATTTTTCATTCTGCTAGGAAAGAACTCAACTGATGTAGGCTCTAAAGTAAATGAATGAAAGAGAAGCCTAAAACACTTGGGAGTTGTTGGTCAGAATAATAAAGATGGGCACAAAAGTATACAGATGATGTGTTTGAAAAGAATAATCTAAATACCTTGTCTCTAATAGATGAATCAGACCTTAACGCAGCAGGAGAATCTGGTGCAAGAAGGTAGTTAATACTCTCATAAATCTCCTCCAGGAAGTGGGTAGTGACTGGATGTGTTCTTCCTTGAGCAGTAATCACTGGACAATGACCAAAATATCTTGAGAATAGATCTGCGTCCACAGTAGCGGACCTGAACGGGAGAAGCATAAATTAATATGATATTTACTTACTATTTACAATCTTCCTTCAAATATAAATGCCATGACTTCGTACATAAGGATAACTTTTAGTTTACGTGATGTATTATCGCATGATTGCTTCTCAATCAGGCTCTTCAAAATAATGAGGAGAAAATCACCCTGAAATGTAAGGAAGAAAAAGAGTGTTCACACCCAAAAGTTGATTTTAAGAAAATGTTGAAAGGCAGTCTCCTGTCAGATGTCCAATGCTTGCAAAATGAACGTGCAAAAATGTAAAACACAGATCTACTCTTTATGGAAAGAGGAATTGGGATACTGAAAATGCTAACATACAAAATAAAAGTGGAAGCAAGATGACTAGCTCCAAGGATGCTTAGAGTGAAAAAGATTTAGACCACCAAGGATGCAAGTTTGGTCTTCAGCGTTGTAATTAAATACATAGTGAGGTGTCACTCTAAGAGGACATTCTAAAACTTAATGCTAAAATCTCATTTTTCATTCCTAACAGATTCTTGTATTCTAGTGATGCATTAGATGGTGTTGAGTAGATTCTCAAGCAGAAATCTTTACTGTGTGTCTCTTTCTTAACAATGATGAAATTTATCGCTGAGCTAATAAATACTCACCAAAAGAGACCGCTCATGCACTTCATCGACTATAATATGTGTAACATCGTTCAAGGTTTTATCTCCCTGCAAGGTGTGCACAAACGAGCAAACAAAAAAAAATCAGAGAGAATGCTGATTATAATCTTATAAATGTGGCTTCTTTCATTGATGCTTTACAAAATAGCATTACAGTGTCTCAACAGCTGGAACTGCCAATTCTTCAGATTTTTTTTGCAGGAAAAAAAACGTCTGATACTACTAATGATAAGCCAACTACATTAACTAGTAGACTTCTAATGTCCCCCCTAGTTAGCAGAGACTCTATTTACATAATACTTTCTGCAAGGTCGTGTTCTCTAGAAACCATAATTTCTGTAATGCAGCTATGATATTTCACGTTTGTCTATATGACCAGAATGTTTTGTGCACCATAAAATTGTTACTCTTTCTCAGTAGCATATAACATGTGAAAATAATTATTTGCTTGCAAGAGCTTGTTGATAGAATAGAGGACTTACAGCGAGTTTCCTCAATAGAATGCCAGTAGTACAAAACAGCAGCCTAGTCTTGTCACTCCTGAACAAAGATACAAATATGCCAGGGTAAATTTGCTTAATCTACAACTCCAAGAAACATTATAAAAGGTAAAATACAGAAAATCATAAGGCCATCATCATACTGTAGTGTCAGAAATGAATATGTTACAAATAGCGGATGATCGTGACAGATGCAACCATAAATTAGTGAAGCCAAAAGAAACGCAAAATAAACAGGCGAGATTCTGAGTTTTTGAAACAACAAACTGATGTCCTCTTTTGCAACATCGCAGATGAACAAAACTGACAAAAAGTAAGTGGAATTGTTTGATCACTAACAGTGGGCGAAGAAAACGAACACATATGAGAAGATTTTTCTTTGGTTGCAAAGGCATTTCTGGAAAAGAAAAAATAATTTACTCATTTGACAAGTGTAGGCCCAGTGTCCTAGACTCCTAATAGTTCGGCCATTGGGACCAAATTGCTCTTTTCTCTTCTTTAAGAAATACACCAAAATTTTACACCGCCTACTACTATACGACTAAAATTTCTTGCTACAGATAGGATTCCACGATCATTGAGCTTGAGTCCTTGAGGACAGTGAATGAAACAATTGAAATGTGTAAAAGCTGAATAAAGTAAAATCTAATAAGCTTGTAAAACAATACAAAACAAATCTCAAAATTAAGGAGCAGACCTTGCACTTTCAAGACGAACTTGATACCCAACCAAGGAGTCATCTAAGCCTGGAGAGGATTCACAACGCTCATCAGCAACTCTTTGAGCAACAGAGATAGCCTAGACCATATTAACCAGTTACTAGCAGAAGCAAAAAGTAGAAAGAAATCTGCAGGGCTACACTAAATGATATCATTACGCTTTGGTTTTGCAGAACTAAATGGATCAACAAGAATTAAAGGAATCATCGTTTACGTCAATCTGAACCAAACAAGAAATTTTACCATGCCCCAAATCGATAATATCATCCAATATATTACAGTATCACATCTTAACACATCGAGATACTCACCGCAATCCGCCGAGGTTGTGTGCATATGATATTACAGTATCCACCATGCCCCGAATCAATCATATCATCCAATATAAATTGAGGAACCTGGAATAATGTTGCAGAGTTAGAAATAACTCAAAGCTTTGAGCTGGAAGATAGTCTCAGCAATAAAGAGGCAAACAGCAAATATTTTATCAAAACTAAATATTAGGGAGTAGCTGGCGAGACCAAACCTGTGTAGTCTTTCCGGAGCCTGTTTCTCCGCATACCACCAAGACATCTTTTTCTTTCAGATGCTGGAGTATGCCATTCTTAACTTCGGATATAGGAAGAGCATTTCTAGTTTTCAACATTTCCTGCAAAAGAAGAGTAAGATTTCTGTGAGAGCTGCGGTAACAAAGATTTGACAATGCTGACAACATAATCCTATATTTTTAACCGGAACAAACTAACTAGTCTGGTAAGCTTTATAACACTGTAAGGTATAAAATTTACTCCATGAACGACATTCTTTACCATCTAGAGCCAAACTTCTGTTCAAACATAAGAATACTCTACCTTGTACTTCGGCATTCTCTTTTTGTTTTCTTGTTTTCGTTGGAGGGTTAAACACTCAGCTTCTATATAGGAGTCTTCTGTAACACAACAAATAGAGGATTAAATAACCTGCTAAAGAATTTTTGGCACTTAAATCCAGGATAAGATTATTTAAGTAACTAAATAAACCACAGATGCAGTATGTGACAAACATACTTTTAGCTCTATGATTAGATTTGACAACACCCAAGTCATCTTTCTCTTTGACATCGGAGTCCACCAATGGAAGTGCATTGTCAATGCCACTTGATGACGCGGTTAAACTGAAATTTTCCTCCCCAAGCAACTTATCAACAAAACTAGCTCTTCGGTCTTCTTCTGTGCTTTGTATGGTACAGAACAATTCCTCTGTAAAAGCTCAAAGCAACTATATTAGAGTGATTAAGTTATTGCCAAACGAGAACCTGTATATGATACTACAGAATCCTCGTATTAGCGATACACTAAACCTCCATTTTTATTCATAATCGTTAAACTTCAATTAATACAGATGCTCTTCTTAACAGTCAAAATGTTTTGAACAGATAAACACCAATACTCTTATGCGAAAAGAAGTGTTGTAGAGTAATCAGTTATCACAAGTGATCTATAGTCCCACAATTCCTGTACTAGTGAGAAAACTTTGTTTCAAATAGGAGATGCCAATATCAACATAAATAGAGTAAACCAGGGACATCTTACTGCAAAATTTATAGAAAGAAAAAATAGAAACCAGGTACTGAGACAGATTAAATGAGATCACCTTGTTTCCAGATCAGAAGTAGAGACGCATAAGGCTCCGTAATTGCAAAGTGGACAGGTAAATCAGAAAAAAGCTTATGAAGAGCAAATGCCGCAACTTTGTTTTGTGCATCCTGTCACACACAAGTGAAAAAGATTTTAGTACACTGATTATATGGTCAACATATTAATCAGGCACTAATGATTCTATTTATTTCCAATCAACAGCTTACAACTAAGATAAGGTTCATAATCAGATCCAAGACAATGAGCAATGTTGTTAACCAAATAATAGTGTATTAAATATTCAAACTAGCTGTCCTACTTTATTTTCCTCAGAACCTTGCAATCAAGGAATTAGACTGGAACTTTTTTGGGAGAAGATATATCCTTTACTACATTTAGTCACGAGGACCCTAACCAGATACATTTTCGCATCTTACTAAAAGAATATAAAATGCTAAAGCATGGATCAGACGATACCTCAATGGATTCAAAGTTCTCATCTTTATGTGGAAGTTGAAGAGTTACCAGACCCCCGGCTTGTCTGTTTTTACCCCGTCCACTGGCTTTGCGAAGAATACTTACAGTATATGAAAAATCTCTTCCTTCACCGGTTACTTTATTGAACTTTGGTGCTTCCCACCCTGATCTCTGACACAATTGATGGAGAAATGCCTTTGGGATCTTTTGCGCCTCACCCTATAAATTTTTATATGTTAAATAGATTAGTCGAACAAAAGAAGCCGTAATAAAGCTTACAGTAAAACAAACCAAGAAGAAAATGGAGCAGGGAAATTACCAAGCTTACACGTTAAAGCTAAAGAAGGAAATTCCATATCTATTACGAATAGTTAGAACTCACTTTACTCTATCATTATAGCATGTGTGACAAAATGAAGAGTTAAGAAGCACGCAATGCATATGCGCGCAGTAAATGCATTCAGCACCTTTTACTTGTAACAGCATTTTGAAAGTTATATATCCTAGAATCTTTTATGAACAGTTACCTTCTTCCAGATACCATCTAGTTTCCCAAGATTTTTCTCACTGCGTAGTTCTCTCATCTTTTCCTCCTTCTGCAATTCCAGGAGTTCATGGGGTGAAATTTCAGAAGGTGGAATTTCTTCAAAAAATGTACCGCCAAGCTCCACGTCCTCTGAATCTTCATCCAATGCAACTAAATCTTGTCCCGAGGAACTTGAGGGAAGCACTTTAGTTTGAATTTCCTCCGACTCACAGCTCCCAGCAGGATTGGCATCCAAGGTCAAGTTATCTAACGGCTGAACAGAGACATCGTCAGCATCAACTGACTCATGAAGGTTATCGGACATGGGACAGGTTAATTCTTGTTCTTCAAAAGCATATTCGCGCTGAAATTCAGATTCTAACATTGCTTCCGATATCCCTGCAAAACAAACTCAAATAGCTCATGACATGCTGCACCAAGTTAAATGATTGACTGATTGATTACTAAAGATTAAACTTAACCAAGATCAGATATCTCTTGCTTGAGCTTGCGAATCGCTAGGCCTGCTTGCTCCTGTCCTCTTTTATCACGCTTCTCCTTTGCTTTTATAGCATCTGATCTTGCCGAATAATATTCTTTGGAAATCACATCGAATGGCCTTGGACCAGATACCTAGTATAATTTGTGAAATCAAGACCAATATTTTATTGCAAAACTAGTTGATTAAAGTCTGCAGTTTCACATAATCATCATAAGCAGATGAAGAAAATATATTGATACCACAAACACTCTGAAAATCCGAACAAAATAGCTTACTTAACTTCTGCCATGATAAGCTTAATTCATGTCAATCCCATTTCAGCAAAAAAACAACAATACATGATCCAAATTCAAGAGCTTCCAGATATGCATAGTTCTGTAAAAGTCTAAAAGTACGAGGGAATATTTACCCTTGAGCAAGATGTATGAGAGCTAACATGCAAGGACATTGCAAAAGTGTACCACATCCACATCCATGACAGAACTGATCTCACTAAATAGTCTACTATATTTCATTTTGTTTATATAATGGAAAAAAAAAGCCTGGAAACAAGCTGAATTACCTTCTTTCTGGGGTCAATACCATCGACTTCATCTTCCCAACATTCCAATTCTTCCTGCAAATTTAAATCAATGAGCAAACTCATCCGTGGACTGAATATTACTCTGAATTGCGCTTTCAGATCATTTTCTAACTCTACCCAAGATTTTGTGGCTACAACTAAACGTATTAAGCTTTCACAAAGTGCTTCATGATCTAAGCATGCTATATGAGTACCTCTTCCTGTCTCATCATATACTGACGGATCCAATCAGCTTGAGATGATTTGCCAGAATTAAGAGTATCTTCTTCATCTTGTTTGCCCTTCACTCGAATTAAAACCTCAGGCTCCTCCTCCTCTACCTGGACTGAAGAGTCGATAGAATCATTCCAATCATCCCGGGAGATCGATATCACACCCACAGAACCACCTGCAACACCAATGGAGAAGGTACAGGAATCAATACAGGACAAGTATAAGCGTTTCCGTGTGCGCAATTTTATGCATACCTGTGGTAGGAAACCGAGAAGCTCCAGTAGAAAACTTCACTGGCAACTCATGACTCGGCAAGTTCAAGCAAAGCCAATCAAGTGCAGCCTCAAACGTAGCTCCATCCTTAACATAAAGAATACACATTGTATCAAAGTGAATTCTAAACTGAAATGGCAACAAAGACGAGAATGGAGAAAGAGTTTACTCTAAGGGAGGAGAGAGCGAGCTCAATCTGATCATCAACGAAGCCTTCGCAAGAGAGTTTCTCATAGACATTAGTGAGTTTCTTTGTCTTTTGAGCCTTGGAGAGCGAATTACTGATAGGAGCCGGAACCGTAGGACCGGAGCGGCCAGTGTTGAGCAAGAGCCGCCGCAAACGATCTTCGTTCTCCGCCGAAATCTGAAGCTTAGGACCAGAAGAAGGTTTCTGATAATTCGATTTCGATGATGAAGACGAAGCAGCAGCTTTGTTGCTTTGCTTCTGCGGCTTCTTCTTCGGAGCCATTCTCTTCGGAGTTCGCCTCTGGTCCCTTCCGATCAAAAAAAAACGGAACATGGAAGACGGAGAAGAATATTAAAATTTGGGCCTAATGGGCTTTATATTCTTCAGACCCAAATATTGTCCATTTGATATAAGTTTTGACAAGTTTGATCGAACATCAACTCCTGAACTGACAAAAGTTTGCCAAGAAATCTTCAACAAGCTCATGGAGAACAATGTGAAAATTGTGGAAAGATTTTGAATCCTATTGAGATTAAAGATCCTAGGTGTAAGGTGAGTTGATGCTTCTCTCCTTTATGATTTGTGTGGTTGGTTTGGCTTTTCTTATTGTATAGTGATTATAAATTATAAATATGTTTTGATTTGTTAAACAGGTTTGTCAAACCACACCAGGGTTTCGAGACACAGTCCACTTGTTTCTTGAGCTTTCGTTGTTAAAGATAAGTTGAAAAATTATGTTAATGAGATATCAATCAGTGGATCTTGGAGTATGAATGAAATTTGAACGACGGATGCATCGTTTAAGGAAGTAGCTAACTTAGATGAAAACAAAGGCGAAAAGGAAGGGCTTAAGAAGATATGCACTACAACGGATTTAAAGTGGGGAGTTTCAGTTCCACATGAGAAGTATAAGGGAAAATGCGCAAAACTCTCTAGAAAGGCGAAAAGGAAAGGCTTAAGAAGATAGGCGGAAACCAAGTCGCCTTGGTCCAGTGGTAAAGGGAGGTAAGTCCCACCACCTAGGTTTGAGTAGCATTGGCCACGGGGATTCGAGATTTAACATGGTTTTCTCCGGCCCCAGGAGATTAGTCTTTGGGCCTAGAAAGCATTTGGGATCACTCCTGAGTTATCAAAAAAAAAAAAAAATAGGCATAATCTAGTAAAAACAAGGCTTCCTTGAGCCATAAGTCATTACAATCTTTATCTTTAAGGAAATACCTCTGGTTTTCTTTTTTTAATTGTGTTCTTTATTTTCTTTGGTATTTGCTTTTTGGTTTGTGTCTTATCTTATTTGTGAGATTTCAAATTTGGTTCAGAAATCTATTTCTTTGTCAGAGTATAACAATTGATAAAATCCACCAATTCTTTGGTAGAAAAAAGAATGAAATATGAAATAATAAAGTAATTTATCCACATATGTCACTGTCATGATATAGAAAATTGACACTTAAGAAAAATTATAATTGGTCATGCAATTAATTAGGAGTTTCTACTGATTACTAACTAATACTGGACATTGTAAAGAGATTAGGACGAGAGTTTAAATTGATTTGAGGAAACAAGATATAAGTAGTTGGCAAGTCAACTTTCAAAAGTACTTAGAATGGTTTTGTCTTCACCTTGACACAATGGTAATCAAGTTTATAATTTGCTGTAAAAGCAAAGAAACCAAACCGATTCTAGCCAACAACCCAACATTACCAATACAATACCTTCTTCTCTATCTTTTTGTTCCTCCATGGATATAGACGAGACGATGGAAGGAAATAATCATGTCGACACTTCTCGTCCTTTTAGCTCGGTTAAAGAAGCTGTTGCCATATTTGGCCAACGGATTGTGCTACCGACACAAACTCAGACCTTAAACTCTAACCTGGCAAGTCCTATTGCTACTCGTAGCATCAGCCTGGCTGATAAACCAAGAACTCCTATTGCTAGTCCAAGCTTCAGCCAGACTGCTATGTTGGTAAGTCCTATTGCTAGTCCAAGTATCAGCCAGACAGCTTCTTTGCCATCTTCTCCATGGAAGCAACGCTCTTTGTTGCCTTCTTCTCCTCAAGGTCCAAAAGAAGAGATCATGGATGTTTTGAAGAAGCTTGAAGCTGAGATAACGGAAACGAAGACAGAGGTGAAGATGTTGAAAGAGAGGGAGTCAGAGACAGAGGTGGCTTTGGCTACTTTAAACGCCGAGCTACATAAGAATATGTCAAAGATGGCGAAAGCAGAGGCTGATGCAGCTGGGAAAAGCGCGGCAGCCATAGCCAAATCAGTGAGCTTCAAGGAAACAAAAGAGAAAGAAAGCGGAGAGGAAGAGAGGAGGAAAGAGCTGACGAGGAGGATACAGAAAGAGTATCCTTCATTGGCTCAGATTCTTGAAAGTAACAAAGGAGACAGAGATGGGTATTTTGCAAAGACTACAAAGAAGAAGAAGAAGAAGAAACCTATCATTCCTCTTGTGGGAAATTTCTTCCTCTGCAAGAAGAAAGGATCATCAACTGAAATATCGGGACCTTTTTACACAACCTCTTCCACCCTGCACTTTTAGCTGAAACACCCAAAATCCAGAGAAAAGTTATGTACTCTGCAACTGTATATATATGAATGTATGCAATGAAAAACCATATCTACGTGTTTGCCTGTACGTGTGTCTGTGTGTGTTTGAGTGTGTGTGTCTGTGTGTGTTTGTGTATTCTTTATTTGTTTGGATTTTGAGTGCAAAGCATCAGCGTCTGTTCCCCATCCCCCTCTTATATTACAAAACTATTACACTATCAATCTAATTATACCACTAATTAAATACTTGATCCAAAGATGAACTTCTACATTCGTAACGGTGGATATTATACGTAGACAGGGACATGAAACTTGAAAAGTGTGCTAAGGAGTTGGTCTCTGAGACCACAACACCTCTCAGGTTAGCAAAACACAGAAAATCAGGTGATAACTATTATCAAATGAGTTCCTTTATTGTAAAGATATATTATAAAAAAGGCTTGTTCTTATTGTTCCAACGGAATTGACAACAACGAATAGGATCCGATCCATACAGAAACGAGAGGTAAAAATTACAACAGCAAGGAGGACGACATGGTGCGCAGAAAAAGAAAAAGAAAAGAAAATGGTACCATAACTCAGAGATTTACACCAGAGTCTTCTTAATATTGTTCAGCATATGCATCTTCCTTATCAAGATATTCAAAGCCCGAGGTTTCTCAGAAGCTGACCCCATCTTGGAGTATCCTCATCAAAAATGTATGTCAGAGGCGAAACTAATACCCCACTGCCTCCAACCTGCAATAACATTTCTAAACATGACTAGAGAACCAAGAGAGGGGCCGATAAACACGCATTTGTTTGGAACGTGATCAATGCAAAAGTGGAAACATGAATTAGTTTTAGAACGCCAACTATGGATGAATTCTGAGTGGCGTATTCGTTAATCCAAAATCAAGATTTAAACGTTAGGATGGAAGTAACTGCAGGGATTACTAACCGCTCTCAGTTGCTTCACAGAGTCATATAGAGCCTTTTTGGGTACACAAATCACTATAGCGTAGTAGTCAACTGATACTTTGCCATCTTTTGTACAGTAAACTGGGCTTATTGTTGGTCCCTGCTCATTATACGAAAGCCATAAATAATCAGAAAGAACTTTACAACTAAGGTTTGAGGACTTAAACCATACAGATTACTGAAACATTACCTGCAATCCTGACAATGATGGTTGGTTCAACACACGCTCAGCCACTTCCTCAGCACTATTTCCCCTCATGTTTGCAACAACCTGAAAAGAAGTTATTAGAGAAAAGAAAGCGAGGGAGTGAATAAGGAAAAAACATCATAGGAACCAAATGCATACAGTGAATTGGCCATCCGCCTTTAGATGCGCCTCCAATCTCTCAAGAATCTCGTGTACTGTGTTTAGTGCCCCTTTTCTCTCGGTCAATGCTCTTCTACTTGCCACAAGTGCCGCCTGGAAAATTTAAATTAAAAAACAAATGTTCAGGAATGATGGTCGCAAACAGATTCTAAACACAGTTCATGGATTCAAGAACTTCACATTACCTGACTTTCCAGCACAACACCTCCTTTAATTTCCTTTAAGTTGTTCTCTTTGAGTGTTGTCCCACTACTCACAAGGTCCAGTATGGCATCAGCTATCCCCATCTAATCAATAAGAACATATGAGTCAACAACTTCTGACAGCAACAGTCAGATATGAAATCAGGACACTACTAGCTGACAACAAAATCCTCCACAAAGCATGACAGTTAACACTTGTTTTCGAAACGAATAGAAGTACCTTAGTGCCAAATGTTAAAATTCACGTTCACAATCAAAAACAATTCTAAGTTCAGACTAGACAAACAACAAAGGTGAAAGATAGCAATCATGCAGATTGATCTAACACACTTAGTATACCAGGCGCAATCATGAAGAAGCAACACACTATAGTTTCATACATAATTTGATGTATTTTCTATCCCTAATTTGATGTATTTTCTATACATAATTTGATGTAATTTCTATCCATAAGTTTGGCACAGCATAACTTCACCTAGTGTTGAAAAAAGATTATACGGTTTAAAAGTAAATAGTGTAATCTCACCGCCGGAGCAGCCTCCAGGGCTCCATCTGCAGTTGAAAATGTCACATGCTTAATTCCGTTTTCTTTCATAAATTTGGGGCCGAGCTGCAAAAACAAGTTGAATCATTCCCAAATATTACAATGAAGCTACGTGAACTCTGAGAGATCTTAGATTACAACAGCGCACCAAAGAAGAATCTGTAATTCATCATACATAAGTGAAGCCAGTAGCAAGGCGTAAGGGTCTCTCCTCACTCCATTGGGGCATTTGTGCTAGCTCCTTTAGAGAATTTATGTTCTCAAAAATCCCATAGTTTGGTATCTGAGATAATTTGAGATACAATCAGATAACCATCTGCACAACTGATATGACAACCACAACCACAACAGATTAGAGCATACCGCAATGGACAGATGGCAGTCTCCAAAGTTGAGAGCTTCATGGACAATGATTAGATCTTCATTTTCCTAGAATAAAACTCAAACATCTTAATCCAGAGAAAATATAAAGAATACAGGGAAAGATCTATTTTCTCCACAAGAGACTAAAGATCAACTGGTACTTTATCTCCACGATGAGCATAATGATAATAACCACACCATAAGAATTCTTACATTCTGAACATGATATCAAAACTATTGAAGAGAAAACTGTTATAGTCATCACTTACCTGACCATATTCACTAAGCGTGTCAAGACCAACGATACCTAAATCCAAATCTCCAGAGAGTAACTTCCTGACAATGTCTTTTGGCCGTTGAAACCAGACTTCGGTGTTTGGTAACTGAAGGACATGAAATGATCACCAATATAAGTCATGGTACACAAAAACCATAAAACACACTCTGGTTATATTTGAAGTCTATCCGAATGGCATACCTGAGGAATTTGAGCAACATATTGCCTAGGATTGACTTGTTTAACAAACAGTTGACAATCCTTCATAAGAGAAGTAACAAACAGGAAACGTCAAAATCAAGATATGAGACTACAGTTCACTATGTCCACTTCACTCAAAGTGAGAGGGAAGAATTCAAATGAAGCTTTGGCAAATGATTCAAGAATGAGAAAAGGATACAAATTTATGTTAAACAAAGAGATCATCAACTCGTCTAGGAATATGTTAGATCAATAAACTAAAAGACAAAACGGTTTCGAGCTTCAACAAACGAAATAGCCAAAAGATTCAATTTTTAAAGATCCCAATTGCTCAGAACCAATCAAAGTTTCACAAAAACAAGAAACATAAAAGATATCATATAGTTTTAAACCATGACGAACACAGAATCAGAAAAAGCTAAGATTTTTATTAAACTAGTCTCAATCGAAACCAGTTACGAGGAAAAAGTCTCAGTCTTTATAAACTACTATAACACAAGCTGAGACTGAAGAGAGTTAAGAAATCTCAAACCTTGAGAAGATCGATTGCATCAGCAGCCATACGTCCTTTACTAGGAAGACCAAGACGAATCTGATCTCGCTCAACAACAACAAAAGCTGGAGCAGAACCATTCGAAACAGGGCTTGGAACGGTTGAGACACAAGAAGTAACCAATCTGAGACATCTCCGACGAGGTACGACGACAGAGAAGACGGTGGAAGGAGACGGAGACGGAGACAGAGAAGGGAAGGTGGATGAAGAAGAAGGGCATTGTTGTAAATTCGTAGGAAGAAGAAGAAGAGACATTGTTGTTGTTCTCTTCTTTGGCTCTTTGAGAGATTGAAAGGGTTAGTTTTTATTGTTGACCGGAGAAAAAAGAGAAGAGAATGCAAAATTATATAATTGAGATGAAAGAAAGGTCACACAACAGCAGCAGCCGCCACACTTGGGGACACACAGAGAGAGATACTGATTACAAGATTCTTGATGCTACACTAAGGCCTGATCCATGCGTTTTTCATTTTTTATGTTTATTTAAATGAAAGAGCTTTATGAGGAAAAAACAATTGAAGGATGAAATGGACGGTGGTGATTGTACGGGACAATTGTGGTTAGAATGCGACTGCGGAACAGACGAGAATAACGGTGTAGATTTTGAGTGGAACTATAATATATAGAAATAGAATGGTGATAATATTATAAATATATAATAAATGCAGTGATGATAAAAAAATAGTTATCTAATATGAAATTAACCCAAATAGAGTATTATTTTTTGAAAAATTCTTGGGTTCACCCCTAGGGGTGAACCTATCTCATTCACCCCTCTTAATTAACCAATCAAAATATGATAATGTGCCATGTCATTTTCTATTTAAAAAATAAATCAAAATTAAAATCATAAAATAAAACAAATTAAGGAAATAAATTCTGTAGGATTTTTATTTAGGAAATTTTATTTGGTTTGGGTTTATAAAATAATGGTTAGGGTTTAGATTTTATAAATAGATAAATTTATTTTTTGGTTTGGGTTTATAAATAGTGGTTAGGGTTTATATTTTCTAAATAAACAAAATTATATTTCGGTTTGGGTTGATAAAATAGTGGTTAGGGTTTAGATTTTGTAATTAAACAAAATTATATTTTGGTTTGGGTTGACAAAATAGTGGTTAGGGTTTAGATTTTGTAATTAAACAAGATTATATTTTGGTTTGGGTTGATAAAAATACTTTAGGGTTTAGATTTTATAAATAAACTAAATTATATTTAAGTTTAGGTTAATAATATACTGGTTAAAATTTAAAGTTTGTAATTAATAAGATAAATTATTTTAATTCATTTAATTAGATGACATGGCTAATTTTGATTGGTTACTTAGAGGGGGTGAATGAGATAGGTTCACCCCTAGGGGTGAACCCAAGAATTGTTCTTATTTTTTCAGTGCTTTTTTTTTAAGTTTGATAAAAGTGAAATTTGAGATGTTATATATTTTCCTTTGTTTAATTGTAAGTCATGTTTTTTAAGGTTTCTACACACAAATTATATATATATATATATATATATATAATTTACGTATTTTTATACTATTAACTAAAATAAATATAACCAATAAAAATATGATTGCTCGAAAATATTAAATATATTTAGTTTTTGCATTAAAAATAAATTATCACTTAAAATGAAATAATTTTTGTTGGTAAAAATTTCATAAAACATTTCCATCTAATTTTAGTTTGGAAGTTTAATACCTAATGCTATTTCATTGGAAACAAAATGCATGGTTTATTAAATTGTTGTCTATTAATACATTAAGTATATAAAAATAATCAAATCGAACAAACCGCTTAACACATGTTAGTCGAACTGACGGAATCACTAAACCGGGGTTGACGGAATCACTAATCCCTAAACACATGGGTAATTGGGGTTATCAAAAGACTACAGTGTTCTTTGCTATTTCCTCCAAATCGAATTGGGATTGATAAACCCTAATTTTAGTATACTTCCATTAACCTCGGTTTAATACGGAATCCGATTAACGTCTGTTTAGTGGTTTGTTTGACTCGACAGTTTTTATATACTTAATGTATTAGTAGACAAAAATTTAATAAATCATGCATTTTCTTTCCAATCGAATAACATTGAGTATTAAACTTCTAAATTAAAATTAGATGGAGAATTTTTATGGAATTTTTCCATTTTTGTTGGTTAAATCTTTACTTAAAACGAATGGAAATAAAATATTTGGGGGTTCTCCAAAAAAGCTAATGTCTAGCAAAAGCAAGAGGTATGTTTTATTACTAGGCTATATTAAGCTCTAGGTGAGTGTGTTTCATAATTTGGTTTTGAAGTTTCGAGTAAGCTTTGTGGATGAACAAATCTTTATATCGTTTGTTCACATTTTCATTCTTAAGGCTAATGGGGCGGGTTTCTCTGTCATCCATTTATATTAAATATCTTGAGTCTTGTTAGTTATTACTTAAAAAAAATCTCAATTGGAACAAAAGAAGATAATTAGGAATGTCATAAAGAAAATGACGTCTGATAAGGCAAATATAATTGTCATAAGGATAATGAAATCATAGCTGAAGCTGAAGCAGCTTTGGTGAAGCCAATTATGACATTAACGAAGCATCAAAACACACAAGAAAAACACTGTTTAGTTTTGCACTCAAATCAGATGAACTCTTCAAATTCATAATGATGCATGCAGTAGTAAGTATCTTGAATTGCCTAAGCAATTTAGAAGGTTGAGATCTTTCATTATATCGTTTGTACGTATGCTAAAAAATTTTGTGATATACGTCCGTTTTAAAAAAATCAAATTGCAATATATGCGAAAAATAATTTTTGTTTTTATTATACATATGTTTTATGTAATAAAATAAATTAAACACAAATAAGATCGATTTTGGAGAAATATTTGAGAAAATGTGAAAAATAAGTAATGATATTATATTTATTAAGGGATTTTGTTAAAAATGATTATTATTAGTTTTTAATATTTTAACTAAATAATTAATGCCAATGGCATAGCTTTGTAAATAACTTCAAACTTCCAATTTCAAGATTTTCTTCAAAAAAATGCTGGAAAAATGATAATATAGATATTAAAAAAAGAAAAGAAAATGTTGTTGTTTAACCATCGCAATGCATGATTGAGATCGAGATTCAGTATATTACTACAAACAATAGATGACGAGTGAAAATATTTCACATCTTTATTTATCTTTTCTTTTTGCAGAATTTAAAATTATGGCAGATGATGTAGTTAAAGAGCTGGAAATAGCTTGTGATATCGATCATCAGTTCATATATCACCGTAACAACCAATAATGACAACATTTAGATATAAATGTGCTATAAATAAAAATAAAATTTCGAGTTTTTGGAAGAGTTAACGTGTGTAACCAACCACTTACATATATATATCGAGCATGTCTTATGTCTCCAGATCAGCATAACCTCTTCTTGGTTAAGTATCTTCATCCAAAGTCTCCAAATTAGGAATGGTGATCAAACTAGGAACATAGACAGATGATTGAAACTTCTGACGTACCACTTGATCAATCTTAAACTTTTTGCACACTTTGCCCCTCACAATATAGACCCAAGCTTGTTTAGGTTTCTTGTCAAGAAAACACATAACAAAGCTCTTTCCATAGACATAATTATGATCCACGAAGTAACTTGAAGAACGGTTGTTGCAAACCATGGGAAACTTAGGTATTGGAATAGTCATGAACTTGACCCACACCACATCTTCTCCATTATCCCCATTGCCAATTTCCTTCTCTGTCACCCAAATCTCGACAACTCTTCTGCTTGTGCATTGTTGTAACGCTGAAAACCGATCTCCCTTGTATATCGCGAGGCCACAGTTATGGCTACCATTCGCCGTAAAGGGTAGAATACAAAATTTCTTTACTACCTCTTTCGAATAATCGAGCATTCGGATGAAATACTCAAGCGTTACTCTATAATAAGCTGTCCAGTACAAGTTTCCATTCAGGGAGACCGTGCTAGACTTATCATTGTCTTCTATTGACATATACTCTTGGGAAGAAATGGAATAATAAGTTTCTTTCCACACATTGCTAGCAAATTTGAAGACATTAAAACTCCTAACAAAGTCGTCATCAAATGGATTAATATAAGTATGATCATACGTCGCAATAACCTTGTAACTCTTTTCGAGACTACTACCATCGTAACCTAAGCTCTCGACCCATGTAGATTTCCCATTCCAGGCAATCCATTTAGTCTGTCTCAACAATGGGTGCCAAACAACGTATCCGCCTTCATTATAAGAATCACACAGTAAGATATAACCATCGCAGACCCCATAAAGATCATAACCGAGACCGCGTAAATCATCAAAGCATAAATCAGTCACTTTTGAAGTTGGATCGTCGTTGTTGAGATCGACGCTTATTAAATAAATATGGGAATGTGTCTTTAACAAGAACTCTGGCCGAGCGAAAGACAACTGTTTGTTGGCAAATCTTTTGTCGTTGTAAAGAGTGTTCCATGCTTTGCAAACGGATCTGAACCGAACAAGAGAGTGAGGTGGAACTCGAACAAGTATCTCTTCTTCCACATCTAATGGAAGCTTTCTTGGCGACGACATTAGGGTTTTCTTCATAAAGGAAGCAAGGGTAAAAGAAAAAACCTAAAAAGTTATTATACTTTCCACTAGTATTGTTGTATACATATATATACAAAATATATATATATATATATATATATATATATATATATATATATATATATATATATATATATATATATATATATATATATCTCATTAATAAAGTTTATTATGTTAAAAATGTTTTTTTTAACTCAAATTTTAATTATTAATTCGAGTCAATATTTTTTAATTATGTAACACAAATTTTATTATTAATTCGAGCCAAAATAGTATCTTTATAAACTTTGTATTTTGGTTTTGCTATGTTGCGCAAGTCAAGTACCATGTTTTTGTTCATCTATGACTTTCATGAAGGAGGAGGAGAAGGCTTGGTTTTGAACCCGTTCTTGAGAAAGCCTAAATGGATTGTCGTCGATGTTATCTCATATGGCAAGGGCATGGGTTACAGTGGTAATAGACACGACGAAAAGAGTTACAAGATTATAGGGAATGTGAATGGTTACTTGGCTAATTAATGTTACTGATATATATTCAGTATTCCACTTTGCAACCAATGAGTGGAAGGTTACTGAACATATCAGTTTTTACCAAGAGCCAAAAATCATAAGCGAATCGCGCGGGAATGCTAGGGTTTCCCTTAATGGAAATTTGTACTGGACAGCTTGTACTTATCCCGAAACTGGTCAATGTTTCATCCAAATGCTCGATTTTTCGAAAGAGATAAGAAAGGTCTTTTGTGTTCTACCGTGTAAGGGGGGAAAAAGTACACGTATCCTCTCGGTTTACAAGGGAGATAGGTTTTCAGTGTTAGAACAATCCATAGAAACAAGAGCTATTGAGATTTGGGTGACAAAGAATAAAATTGGTAATGGAGAAGATGATGGAGAAAATGTGGTGTGGATTAAGTTCATGACTATGCCAATACCTAACTTCCCTATGTTACTTTGTAACAATTCTACAAGTTACTTCGTTGATAATAACATCTATGGAAAGAGCTTTGTTTTGTGTTTTCATAGCGAAGAACCTAGAGAAGCTTGGGTCTATATTGTGAGGGGAGATGTGTGCAAAAGGATTAAGATAGAGGAAGTGGTATGTTTATCAAAAGAAGATGAAGTCGTATGTGAGTTTGTGAGGAAGTGGTATGTTTGATTCCTCTGTCTATGTTCCTACTTTGATCACCATTTCTTGAGAGACTTTCGATGAAGCTAGCTAGTGAAGAAGAACAAAGTTTAATTTGTCGCTATCTTGTTTTATTTATTTATAACAATTTAATAAAACTTTTACTAGTTTGATTTTCAAAATTTATTTTGCCTAGCTACTTCGGTTTTGTTTTAACTTATGTTGTGTTGTGCATAAAAAATTGAATAGACTCTTACGAATGAATTACAAGTGTATTGTAATGCCATGAAGTGGTTCTCCTTAATTACGGGTTTAGAGTTTAGGGTTTACGCGGTCTTAGTTATGATCTTTATGGGGTCTGGGATGGTTATATCTTCTTGTGTGAATCTTATAATAATAGAGACTGAGTCAGATGCGTTGTTTGGAACCCATGGTTGAAAGACAGTACTCAATGGATTCCCCCGACTTCTCACTATGGCAAGTTATTGATTTGAGCGAGTTGTTCCAGACACTGCCTAATGTGGTTTCCACTCGTCTTCGATTATCTTAAGAGCAGTCACATGAGAATCATCATCAAGAACAGTTTTTTACCGTCTTTTTCTATGCTTCCCGGAGGAGAACTCGCCGGAGAAATGAAACGACAAAGAAATGAATTAGACAGATTCATTCAGACACATGTATCTTTAGCTCCATCTAAACTGTGGTTTTACTTTGTGTTTCTGTTTTTTCGGTCGTAACTTCTCTAATTTTTGTTTTGTTTTGTAGGGTGAGGAGCTGCGGGCTGTGGCGTGCGTTAGCCGAGAACAGTGAGAGGCACTACACGGGGCTATTGTGCGCGACGGATGAGTTAACTATTATTGATGAGCTCTTAGGAAGATCTTAAAGCTAAGGCATAACCAAAAATAACAGCGACTCTGTATCTTCACTATTAAGTGACTGTTTTTGAATCTCAGTTATAATTTTTTTGCCTTTATCGTAATCGCTATAGTTGTCGCAACGATTAATAGCTGAACATGCCCTTTGTTGTGATCGCTATCTTTGTCGAAAGAAACTATAGAGCTTCAAAGAAAGCAAAAGAACTAAAAACAGAGCTTTAGTCATATGACTTGTGAACATAGAATTTAAAAGTTACCTCAAAACCAGTCAAAAATCCACCAATTCAAGTAACCATACTTGTACATACATTAAGATTTGAGTCTTTAGAGATGAATAATACAGTGATTAGAAACCATATTATATGAAGCAACATACTTCACTGTTGTAGTATTCACATTCTTTAGTTCTTATACAAAGTACATTTAGCAAAAGTGTTATAAAAATGTCGTAAATATAGTCGCATGTTTTGAGGAAAACCGAAAACATACACAAGAATTGCGATTAACAAATATGCAAATCTTTTTGTTTAGATGCAAAATTTAGTCCTACAAAAATATGGAAAAAACTTAACAATGAAATATGAAAAATAGAATCTTCGACTATACAATGAAAACATTCTCTACCCACGAGAATCCATTTGGACCCAAACCTAACAATTCCTTCATACACACACACACACTCTTGTCTAAGAAAAAACTACTAAAACAACACACAAATCTCACAATGAACAATCAACCGCAATCGCAACCGCTACAAAAACGCTTAAATTCCTTACCAATTTCAATGCTAGCTCTTATAAGATTAGAACTTTGTTTTACTTAACTCTTACTCAGAGCTATTTGAGTTATCTTCTCTGCTATCCTCATCATGTTCACTCTGTTGCGGCTTCTCTTGATGCTCCACCGCTTGTTCCGCATTCGCGTTCCCATTCCCGCCTCTCGAATAAGCCGCGTTCAAAGCGGCTAACATCCCGAGATTCGAGTCCGGCATGCTTAAACCTAAGTTCTGAGTCGGCTGCGGCTGAGCTACAAACGAGCCTAGTTGAAGTGGACTCCCTCTATACTGATCCATCGGAAAACTAAACCCTGTTCCCGCCATAAAATGTGTCGCACCACCACCACCTCCTCCTCCTCCTCCAGCTCCGGCAGAATTCACAAATGGCCACATAGGAGCACGGTGACCCACCGTGTTATTGTTGTTATTACTACTACTCTCCATTTGATTACCCGCCGTAGTTGGTACCGGAAGCATCCAAAAAGTGTTCCCACCACTAGCCCTACTCGTCGGAGCAACCGCCCACATCGGCGCCGCCGCAGGATCCGATTCTTTCAAAGACTTACTCTCATTCTGTTTCTGATCATCATTCTCCTTAGACAAATCAACCGATCTATACCGTTTCCTCGAGAAACTCTCACCGTCGGTAATCGTTTCCACCGGAGCTTGCTGCTGTTGAAGATGATGATGAAACCCTAAAAGCGGCGCCGTCGCAAAAGCACCACCACCTCCTTGTTCATCATACTGATGTTGATGTTGATGTTGGTGGTGATGATGAGTCAATCCAAGAGCACCGTAAAGAGGTAAAGATTTAGACGGAGGAGCCGAAAGAGTCGATCCGCTGCTACGAAGAGAAACACTTAAAGTAGAAAAGTTCGCCGGAATAGTACCAGTACCTGTAGCAGCAACAATCGCTGGCTCAGCTTGTTGAAGAAGCCATTCAATAGTTTCACCATCAGATTTATGACCTAACTCTCTTGTTAACTGAAAAACCCTAGCCGCACAAAGCGCCGGCATACGAATCCGCCGTCCTCTTCCGTCTACTTTTGTGTGACGGTCTTTTGTCGAGCGCTTCGTTGTAGTCGCCGCCGCCGTAACAGAGTTTGTTGTTGTTGTTGTAGTTGTGGAGAGTGTTGAGTCTTCTAAAGGTGTAGATCTGGGGACGATTGTTAGAGATGCGTCAACTAGTTGTCTTGCTCCTCCGGTGACGGCGGCGGCGGCGGTGTCGTTGTTGTTACGGGAAAGATCCATTTTTTTTTGGGGGAAAAGGGGAAAGAGGTGAAATTGAGAATTAGGTTTTGGTGAAAGAAGAAGAAAGGGGCATGGAGGATTGGATTGGAGTTGTCGTGTTCATGAACTTGTCTTTCTCATCAGTTTTGACTCTTGTCTTGTTCTTCGTCGTCTGAACAACATCGAAGAGAAAAGGGTTTGATGATGTAAAAGCAGGTGGATGACTTTTCCACCCAGCGGAATTATTATTATTATTTTTTGTTTTTTTGCCGTCATTAAGAAAATAAAAACATTTGTTGATTGTGATTAGTTTATTAGTATGTGAACGATTATTATAATTAGGAGAGAAATTAATTAAGATGACCTTTCTTTGTTGTTTAGAAGTGTCTCTTCCCCAACCATAATCTACCAAGAAAGTGAGTTTTATTATTTTCATCTATAGTGTTTAGTTTTTTTTTTTTTTGGGAAAATATTTTTGATTAATGTTATTGTTAAAAATACTAAACACTCTAGCAATTTTTCTTTTTGATTAATGTTAGGGGAAATTTCAAAAATACCCCTTTTCATATACCTCTTTTTAAAAATATCCTCTTTTCAAACTTTATCAAAAAACTCACTAAAAATATTGAAATTTATCCAAATATGTGTGTAAGCTTATAAATATATACACAAATTACTTTTATATGTGTATAAAACTTTATATACCTTTCATAAATAGCGTAAAAATAAATTATAAAAACCTTATAAAAACCTTATAAAAACCGTATAAACCCTTTTAAAAATCTTTTAAAAACCTTATAAAACTTATAAAAACGATTTAGAACTATTTAAAACTATTTAAAATATTTGTATCGAATCTCCCAGTAATAGTTATTATATAGAACTACCTTATAAACTATATAAAACTTTATAATTTTTTTATATTTAAAATGGGGTATTTTAAAAAATGGATAGAAAAGGAGGGTATTTTTAGAAAGGGGTACACCAAAAGGGGTATTTCTCAAAAATTCTCTTAATATTATTGTTAAATTTTTTTGATTAATGTTTTTGATAAAGATACGAAAATAATATGGTCTTAATTTTTCGGATATTATTTTCATATTTTCAACGTATAAATAAAGTTATATAATTTATTATTTAAATTAAAATAGATGATTTTATTATTAAAAAATACATCGATTTTTATTTGAAGCAAATGAAGTTTATAAGCATTATTTTTTAGATAAAAAATTATATCAGTTAATTATGGTAAGAACGTGTCAAAAATTCAAAATAATACCGTTTTTTTCAAATGGTTTAATACTCGAAAAGTATTCTAAACTCAGAACTAGCATAATTATCTCAAATTTTGATTTGGATAATAAAACTGCTGTAATAGTAGTACCACTGAACATTTTAGATGAAATGACATGACTCATGAGACTTTATAAGTGGCATGTGAAGTTAAATTAAGTGATTCACCTGACATTTTTGTACCACTTGGTCAATGAATGTTCTTTGTTTATTTACTCTTTAGAAAAAAGATTAAATAAAATCATATTGTAAAATGTAACAACCCTTCATCCATATTGTAGAACTTGCAACTTTTACATCTCCATGTTAAAAACGTAAAAGAGAGACACACATGTTTTTTTTTTGTATAGTTTAATAGATTTGTTCGAATTGAGAATTAAAAAAAAAAACAGAAGGATAAGCATCTTTTTGGACAGTGAAGCGTGCGTATTTTGGCAGGTGGGGACAGCTCATCCCAATTCTATTTTTTTATTGGATGGATAAACGAATTAAGCACTACGAACAAACCAAACCGATTGTACCAAACCAAAACCGAAATTAAAGAAACATAAACCAAACTAAAACTGACTAAAAACCAATGACTAAAACTATTTGAAACTGAATCGTACCGAACAGAAACAAAAACCGAATGGATATCCATAATATTTTGAAATACAATTATATACCTAAAAATATTGATTATTTTAGACCAAAAAACCAAATAAATTCTAAAAATATTTAAATATCTGAATAATCAAACTGAAAAACCCAATAAAAAAAAATCAAAATAAATCATAATACCCAGATCGATACTGAACCAAAAATATCCAATTATAATAGAAAAAATACACTGAAAATATCCCAAAATACCTGAAATATGACAAATATATGAAAATTTAGGTTAGAACCAAAACCGAAAAGTATCCAAAGTTCAGTTCTAGATCGGTTTATCGTTCAAGATCCGAAATCAAAAAGAATTTAACCAAGACTCAACCGAAATTAAAAAAAAAAAAAACCTAATGGGTAAATAATCTCAATATCCGAATGATCCGAAACCAAACCAAACCAAATACTCACAGGACTACTTAGCTTTGACAAAAGAGTAATTTAATAAGCTGTAGATGTGCATAAAAGGACCAATACAGATGTGAAGCAATCAAAATATCTTTGACACTTGGGGGAAATTACAGAAAATGTCATCAACTTTACATGAAGCATTCACTCGAAGGGGATGCACCATTTTTACCAGTAACATAAAATACAAACAAACAAACAGTGGAGATAGATCATCATAGTACAACTCCAGAGATGAGTGTTTTTATTTTTTTGTCCCATATCACAAAGTTGCTACAACAATCACCCAGATAAATGAAGTCCAGGTGTCTGATCTTCGAACTAAAACCACCTCAGGCAAGCCATCTGCTGGAAGTAATATAAGGTTTCCAGGTGCACTGGTGAGTTAACTTGTCAACCATAAGAAAGCAAATAAAACAACGAACCGGGGGGAGTTAAAAACGTCTGCGGTTTTGAGGCAGTAGATTAAGGCATGGTATTGTTTGAATACCAAGTCCTTCAAGATCTAATGAACCAGTGGACTAAAAGTGGAATTGACCCATCACAGATACAGAGTCACGCCTACAGTTGGAATCCTTGGTGTTTAAGGAAAGACTGGAGAACTGAGACTCGAGATCTTTGCTAGTAGCACGCCCGCGACTGGCTGATGGTTTTTGAGTTTGTTGTTGTAGCTGATACAGCGCTCGTAGTCTTCCAATCTCCTTTTCCAACACTTCCTGTTCCACTGGATAATAGAGAGAGAGAACTCATGAGTATGATTTTGTGCTACAAGTGTGAGACTTGCTTAGATTAGTTTACAACTACAGCATTGGTAAGGTTCTTTAACACAATAAGATGAATAGAAACTTAAACAAAATTTATATAAGTATTATTCAGTCTAGCAAAAAATGACAAACTCATAACTTCAGTCTAGAAAGAACCTAAAATTATGAGTCTACCATACTTCTTTCCTACAAAATAGAATTCTCTTTCCCATGTAAGAATATAAAATGTGTGAGATGGTTGCTTTGTATGGCTAAGACGTATTATTAAACTTGTTGGTCAGGTAGGTACTGTTCAATCACTAATACTTACACGCTAATACTCCAGACTAGAGTTAGAAGTTTGAATCTAGAGAATCTAAAAGAATCTTTTTCAGATGGGTGCAAGAACTTACATTGTTTGATAAGCTTCTCCTGAGCTATACTTTCGAGTCGCTGCTTAAGAGCTTTATTTTCCATACTCAGAATAAGATTCCGCTGGTTGAGAAAATCAAGTTCAGCTGAAACTTTGGAGCCTTCTGCCTATAGAAATAAAAGAAATCCATACTTCAGTTCTCCAGAAATGGTAATCTAATACAATTTTCACTATCTGTCTCTTTAAATGGAAGGTTTTTTGGACGCCTTACCTGCAATGTTTGTACATTCCTTTCTAGCTCAGATATGTACTGGAGCTTACGTACCCGTGATCGTTGTGCAAATTGCCTGCACGAAGCAGCAACTAACCAAGTTGTAATACTAAAAATTAAAGTCCAAAAACACTTATAGTTCCATAAATGCTATCAGTATTGCTCATCTCATAGTACCTGACATATGATAATATTACTCAAAGATGTAAGTTCTGCTAAAGTCAATGAGATCAATAATCATATCACAAAAGATCAAAAAGCCGACTGGGTCATTCACCACCGATGATAGTAAGTGGGAAATGGCATGGATATCTCTCAATCTAAACTGCTATGAATAGGTAAATATTTCAAGAATGAGTAAAGAGATCTCATACTGTTTGGCTCGTTTTGAGTTGTCAGCTTCATAAGTCACAGGCGGAGGATTGGAGTTGTTTTCCTCAGAAGAGAACATTTTCGGGTCATGAGAAAGAGGTTCAGCGTAATTCTTTCTTTCTGATAGTACTGTTGCTTCTTGAGACATATATGATGATCCCATATTTTTCCCGCCAGGATTCTCTCGAGTGAAAGGTAGCCAAGAAGGACGAGCTCCAGAAGCCACCAAAGAATCCCGTTGTCGACTCTTCTGTTTCTGAAAGTTAGCATCAGAGTAGAAGGCGGCATCCTGCATCCCTCTTTGAGTGGAGGAAACCGTATTCCTATAACTGAAATCATTTTGGAGTGTCAAACTAATGTTTGTAGCATTAGCCACGTCTAGATATGCGTAAGAATCACTTGATGAACGCCGATGACCACATTTGCGAGCAGGGCTTTCCGGCTCATTGAGAAGATCATCAAGCCAAAAGGGAAGCTCTTCTACCAACTGGCTCTCAGAAGAAGTCCTCTGGTGGTGGGTTTTCTCATCACCAAGCTTCTGACCATGCCTTGAACCAATCAAACCACTAGGAATATACTCAGTATATGATGCTGATACATTAGGAAATGGGATCTTTGGTGGGAGCAAAGCATGCTTTCCTGGGTACATCAAGTTTTTAACACTCTGTGATCCTTTGGAGCTAGCCATTACCACTCTTTCCTGCCAAAAAAACAGTAAAAAACATTATCAACTAATCCGAAAGAGCATCTCGTATGTTTAAAACAACATAGAACTCAGCCTACTTAAATCATTTGAAATGCAAACATCGAAAGATGACTAGAATAGATAGATCTGGCTATATAAACCCACAAAGAAAGTATTTTCCAGCTTGGCCTAAGAACACAGAAGCATATTTAGAGAGAAAAAAAACAGACAAAGAACTAAGAAGCCGCATAGTCTCATATATTAAAGGAAACGTTTTTAAGATAACATCAAAACATAGATCAATGCAATATCATGTTTCTTTCTTCTTTTAGAAAAGAAAAGCTGACAGAGAAGCACAACACTATAGCTGCCCCATATAGACCAGACCAGAACAGAACAAAACCAGCTCATCCCATTCATATAGTTTGCTTTATCATTAAGCTAGATGAACATAATACACATGTTTTAGACTCATACAGGTACAAATAATATCTCAACTAATCAAACTTGTTACTCATAGAAGCTCATTACTAATCTTTTTTCATCACCCCTCATTCCTCAGCAACCAAACAGTAAACACAAGCAATCAAATACTAATCCAATTATCAAAAAAAATCCATAAAAAGTAAAGTAAAAATCCAAAAGTTTCCTTTTTTAGAAACTATGTCAATCAGATAACAGATTCGTCTTCCCTTGTAACCAGTTCCAACAAAAACAAGAAGAACAAAACTAACCAAGTCGAAGACAGATCCAAATCGGAGAAAATTCAAGAAACAGCAGTTGAAATTGTTGACTCCGGCTTGCTCAGACCACCGGAGATCTTCCTTTTGAAAATTCTTTGCCTCTCTGTCTTATCGTTGAGCTGAGGAAGAAGAAGAAGGAGAAGGAGAAGAATCTCTTTGACTCCAAGAAGGGGTGATAGAGAGAAATTTTGAGAGAATTTAGTCCTCAAAAGTAAAATAAAAGCTTTCTCTTTTGTCTGAAGAAGAGTGAAGACCTTTTGTCTTTTTCTTACTTTAAGTATTTAAAAAATCCTCCCAAATACTTTATCATATTTTACAATTTACCCCAGATGTTTTTAATTTGGGCGGATTTGCGTTTCAAAGTTCAGTAATTATTTATTTAAATTGGGACAAATGAAAAGTTTTTTCTTTTTGTGGCCAAATGAAAAGTCTATTTCTTTTAGGTTTAGCTTAAATTAATCATGGAATTAACATTGCACTGTAGAGAGCAGCTGATATAACATTTTTAACCATTACACAATTTGTGTTTTCTTTTCATAATTTTCATTAATTGTGAATTTTCATTTTCTCATTTTATATATTTTTTTAAAACCTCTAGTTTATTAATTTTAAAATACAATTTCAAAATCTAGAAATCGATAATTCGATTGACTTTAAAGATGATACCATAAAATTAATTTTGAAAATTGTTCAAAACTTCTTAATTATTTTTATAGTTAATTACAACTTTATTTAGTTGTTCAATGTAGTCTACAATTAAGAAATTTATTAAGTTAATATTTCTTTAATATGGTGATTTTTTTCCTATTTAAATTTGACTAATTATTTGAATTAGTCGTATTACAAATATATTTTAATTTTTTTTTTTTCATTTAGATCGATAAGATCAGACCGTAGCCAAAGTTCTACTATTAAAAACATATACATATCTATTTCTGTTACATTTTCTAATATGCATATCTATTATTTGATTAAATAATATATTATATGGTTTACAAATCTTTTAAAAATGTTAAATATATACAAAAGAGCATACACTGACAAAGACATTAAACTAGTTACATATTTACACGTCATAAACACTACAAAATGGAAAAAGAGGATCTTTTGTCGAAGATCATGTTTTTTAGCATATGGTCCATTTTTTTAATTTTTTCTTTATTTCATATAATAATCATTTGGTGAGTTGGAATTGATCTGTTACCTAACTTAAAGTGCAACAACATGGGCCAACTTGAATATTTTTATTACATTTTCTAACTTATAGGTTCCACAAAGTGACAAAAACAAAAATGTATAAATCTCAAAATGTTTCTAATCTTCTTCTCCAACATGTCTTTCGTAAACTTTTTATATTTAAAATCCAAGTTTCTTTGTTCTTAATCCAGTCTGTGGCGGCCCCTTTTGTTTCCACAACCTTATGATGTTTTTATTATCCATTGTTAATCACTGTCTTAACTAATCATTAATCACTTCATATGCTAAACAATTTATACTTTATTTAAAATAATAATTACATCTATATATCATAGACTTGACCAATAGTTTTCTATTATTAGTATCCAAAATCTATAGTAAGTGGGACACAAAAAAAATAGACCATCACTATAAAAAGACAATGGCATGTTGATAAAAAGTGATAGATTAGTATGACAAATTTTGAAATAATAAAAGTGTCACTGATTAGTGAAAATTAATATAAAACGTGTCACAAACTGTAGCTAAGTAACTTTAATTTAGAGTCACGAAAATTTCGATTTGAACTTCTTAATCCATGGTTAACATACGAATGAGAAGTAGTATTGGTTTAGTCACCATGCATGGCTAATACGAATACCTAATAGTAGATGTATGTGACTAAAAAAGTCATGGTGGGAAACAAGCCACGATATAACTATGTACGTTTTAAGTGGCTACTACTACTAGGCTAGTTGCAAATGTGTAAATGCATGCAGCAAATTAAATTAACATAGGCCAAGAAAACTAGTCATTGCTTTTAAGGTGGCCAAGTGGTGATAGAGAATGACAACTAAAAATAGTGAACTTTTGTTTTGGATGGCTACCACCCAAAGAACATACTCCTTCCGTTCTTATATAGATAATTGTTTAGGTTTTTATTATTCTAAAATAAATGATTTTTTCACAAAAATTATAACGCATGGAGTATATATAATCTATATATATATAAAGTTACCTTTCATCTCTTTATTTTCCGCCACATCAGCGCCACATCATCAATTTGTTCAAAATTTTTTTGTTAATTATCCTAAAGGGATATGGGCTTAAGGTCCAACGGTTACACAACAATCAAACCGGTTAAGGAAGATCGAGAAAACGTCGGATACATGAATTTGGAACTGGATAGTTAAACGTCGGATACAACAATCAAACCGGTTAAGGATAGATCAGAAAAGCATCTACTAGAACCGTTGTTTACAAGAGCAACTCCTTTGCAGCTATGCACCGATTTTGAAACCCCGACACTAAAAATTCTCAAGAAATTTGATCCAAAAATTAAAAGATGTAAAAAATAAAATACAAAAACATTCTAAAATTATTACATAGCATTCTTAACAATAATATCAAATATACTTTTGTTTTCAATAGGAACATTTGTCAAGGTTTATGAACAGATTGATAAATTTAAGCCATATGATATCTATAGCAAGCGCTATATAATGTGGTTTGACATAATCATTCCATATAATCCGAGTCCAACAAACTTTGTCAAAGAGGAGTTTAGCCCTTTTTGCAAACTCTAAACTTAATTATTATCTATGTAAATTTTTACATCTCATTCCAAGTAAAGGAAGAGAAGATCATGCTTTACTACATTAGTTTTTTAGATGATAAACTGTTCATTAGCAATCAACCAAATTTGCTAAATAAATTCTGATTTTGCATTCATCTTATTATTTTCAGAATGATAAAATCCTTTGTAATCAAATTTTGCTACATAGAAGAGAGATAGAATCATCAGTTTGAGAAAGAACTATGCCAAAGTGAACTAAATTTTATAGCAGCATGAAATTTGGAATGAATAACAACTAAATAAATTTAAAGTAAAAACATAAAACAAAAACCAAAAATTGTAGGAAATAATTTTGACTCCTTGTAAAATGTGCGACGAGTTTGTTGTTTCATCAAACCCTAAAACAGAGTCAAAAACAATTCAAGAACTGAAATGAGTTAGCACTGATGTGGACATACCCTAATATAGGAAGATGATGATGTTACTTGGAAAAGAAGTTAAAATCCCCCAATGAATTTAAAGGAAAACATCTTAAAATAGATAGAGGCATGGCGTAAACAAAGGCTTCAACAAAACAGCAAAGCCCTTTATAATATCAATCTTACTCTCTCTCTCATCTCTGAAACCAAAAAAAAAGAAATAGAAGAGAAACTTAAGCCTCAAGAAATCAGCAAACAAAAATCAATTTAACAAAAAAAAACCTCTTTCTCTGCTCTCTCTCTCTCTTTTTCAAATCCCATATGTTGCTTCCTTGAGTTTTATCTCTTGTCTTCCGTAAGAATGGGAAGCAACATCTGAGGATCCATTGATATTACCAGACATATAAACCTTATATTCAAACAAAAACATATATATTGTGTGTGTGTGTGTGTGTGTGAGCGTTAATGATGAAATAGCAGATTGAGAGCAAGAAAGAGGTACTTTTAGTTGATAACCACCGCGATGGAGATACAGAGAATGAGGCAGTTGATGTCCCTTTGGTCTAATTTGATGAGTAGCCGTGTTTCTCTTACCGGTGGGAATCATACAGCCGCTAGGTTCTGCACTCGCTAGGCTCGCCTCTTCTCTCGCTCGCTCGGTTTTTTCTTTCATTCCTTATTAACTTCCTTTGGATTCTCTTTTAGCTATCTATTCTCTTCTCTTCTCTCTTTCCTCTTCTTTAACTTTCAACTGCACTTTTTCGCGTTGTTTCGGCTTTTTAAGACATAACAAAGAAAAAAAGATATGGTGTTTGTTACTGTCCAAGACTTTCACTCCATGTGCCAAAAGCATTTTCACTACCTCTTGAAAAAGAGAGACCGTTCGAGCTCTTCTTTAAGCTCTGCGGATTCTTTCCTCAAGGCTTCTCGTTCTGAAGTCTTGAGTCTCTTTATGAGATCAACGCTTTTGGCTTTGTTGTTTCTGTCATTTACTTGGTTGAGTCTCCTCAAATATGGAACTGCTGCAACTGCTCCATCTAAATCGGTTGAATCTGACCTTCCTCATGAGCTAATGCCTTTGCTTCTCAAAGATTTGGAGAAGGAAGGTCTTTTTAAGATGGGAGATAAAGCACTCTTCCTAAGAGGTGGAGATGATGATGAGGTCACTGTTTCTTCATACTCTCAGACAGTGATCGAAACTGATATGCTTCTTGTATCTGCCAACGATCAGGAGATGCAGAGCATGGTCCCTAACGAGACCTTTGATTTCGCCTTTGCGCATTCTCGTCATATTGACTCTGCTGAATTTATAGACAGGACTCTTAAAGTTGGCGGCATCCTCACCGTCCAAGCCAACCTTCAAGATCTTTCTCCAAATTTCTTGAAACATCCAAACTATGAAATAGTCTATGTAAAGAGCTCTGAGTACACGGTAATGACAATGAGGAAAACAGGGGAAACAGAGCAAAAGCAGAGCTTAGTAGCCACCGGGAGGAAACTTCTCGGTATCACAGAAGAAGAGGCCAAAGAAAAAGCTTTGAGAAAGCTAGAGGATGTTCTCCTTGAACCACCAAGATCAGCTTCGAGGAAGTCAAGAACATACTTCAAACGGACAAGGTACCTCCCAGACCTTATGGGAGACAGTATGGACCTCGAGAGCTACTCGAGGCGAGTATTTATCGATGTGGGAAACGGAAAAGGAAGCAGTGGAACTGAATGGTTTATTGAAAATTACCCAACAAGGAATCAGAATTTTGAGATGTACAAGATTGAGACGGTGAACGATGAGACGAGCCTAGAATCTGAGAAAATGGGCATGCCGGAGTGGCTAAACGAAAATGTAAAGGAGGAGGAATACGTGGTAATGAAGGCGGAGGCGGAAGTGGTGGAGGAGATGATGAGGAGCAAGTCGATCAAAATGGTGGATGAGCTTTTCTTGGAGTGCAAGCCAAAAGGTTTAGGGCTAAGGGGAAGGAAGATGCAGAGTAAGAGTGGTAGAGCTTATTGGGAGTGTTTAGCTCTCTATGGCAAACTCAGAGATGAAGGAGTTGCTGTGCATCAATGGTGGGGTTGAAGTTAAAGATCATGGAGACAGAACTGAGAGAGAATATTCATCAAACCAGTCTCTTTTAATTATCTTTTATGTTGTCTCTTTTGTTGTTGTTGTTAAAAGGTATGTTTCACTTATTTATTTAATCTCTCATCTTGTTATCATCTATGTGTTGTTGTCGTGTTTAAAGTAATTTGTTGTGTTGTAAGTTTGGGACTAATGAGCTTATTAACAAATCTTTAGTAAATATCCTTGTTGATTCTTTCTTATAGATATTTCTACTAAAAGAAAGATGTGTCACTTAAACATCCTGATGCATGTAGCTACGCATCAAAAGTACGTATACTAGAATTAAGTCAAGCCAAGATGCAATAATAATATGAGTTTGTAAGTTTATTATGCGATGTGTAGATTAAATGAAGTAAAACAGTAAGATTAAAAGTTTACAAGATGCAAAAACATGACCAAGATTTTAAGTGAATTTATGAATTTCATTTTGACAATGACCGATTAGTGAATTTATTTCACGCATTCACATTCTAACAAAACAAAACAAACCAAAAATTGGAAATTTAGTCAAATAATAATCTACTTTAAATTTGGCACAAAAAGCTCGTGTTAGTACGCATATTGTTAAATTTGTAAACAATGTTCCGTCTGATTGCCTCTTTTGAGTTGATATTTTAATATGAAACTGACAAAAAAAAAAAAAATCTACTTTAAATCAACGACTGATAGACAAAGAAATCAATCACGGATTCTTTTTGTTTTCTCCCTAGTATATTCCAAAAATGATATAAAATACTTAGATATTTAGATTCATGTCAAAAAGATACATATATACTCAAGAGATACAAAAGCTGAAGCATACTTATATATAGGAGTATAGGACAACTTAGAGAAGGTCAGCGACCAAGTTGAGCACTAGAAAACGTAGCTGTTGCATTCGAGCTTGATGATGACGTCGATGCATGATATGTGGCAACCGGCATTTTGGATGGGAGATTAGGCAATGGTGCCTCAAAATTCAAAACTTGGATCGCTTGCTTTATGGAAGGCCTAGAGTTTATATCAGGGTGAGCACACCATAACCCCACTACCATGAGGGACTCTGCTTGCTGCAAATCATAGTCTGTCCCCATTTTGTGATCAACGGCCGAGATCAGTTCTCCTTTTCCGTGAAGATCCCATACCCTCTCTACAAGACTAGCTTCAAGCTCGATTTTTCCTTGTCTAGGGTTCACCGACTTTTTCCCTGTAACAATCTCTACTAAAACAACTCCAAAGCTATAGACGTCGGATTCTTTGCTCGCCCTTCCGGTGTTTATATATATTCAGGAGCCATGTAGCCAAAAGTCCCTGCCAATCCAGTAGTTTGGGGACCTAGCTCGTGGTCCATCAACCTAGCCAACCCAAAGTCACCTAGCTTGACGTTGAAATTGGAGTCCAACATTATATTACTCGCCTTGATGTCACGGTGGACAATGCATTGCTCCCACTCCTCATGAAGGTAAAGCAAAGCCGAGGCTACACCAAGAGAGATCTTGCACCGAACTGCCCAAGCGAGATGGTTCTTTTTACCAAATATGTGTGAGTCAAGGCTACCATTTGTCATGAACTCGTATACTAGTAAAAGCTCTTGTTTCTCATGACACCAACCAATAAGCTGAACAAGATTTCGATGCCTCAAACTGCTGATGATCTTGACCTCAGTGATGAATTCTTGCTTACCTTGCTTAGAAGCACCACCCGAAAACTTCTTCACCGCAACCATCAAATCCAACTCATTTAGGTATCCTTTGTAAACAGCTCCAAACCCTCCTTGCCCCAACTTTCTTTCATGTAAGAAGTTGTTTGTAGCGGATGCAAGGTCTTTATAAGAGAACCTTCTTGGCCCTGATCCTCTTTCGAGATCCTCGTTTATCGATGAGAAGTTTTCTGTCTTCCCTTCTTTTTCTTTTCTTTTCTTCCGCTTCAAAAACAGTGGAAGCGCCACAAACAAAGAGCTCAACAGCAAAAAACCAGAAATAGAGACACCGACAATGATTCCTGTCTTGTGTGGAGTTCTCTCACTCCTGTCCAAGGTTGAACTGAACTCCCATGACAAAATCGTATGTCTTTCCATTTTTGCCCCAGTAGCACCTGAAAATCCAATGGTCACTTCCGGGGGAAGCACCTTGGAAAGATCAATGATGTAAAAAAGACTTGAACTCTCTTGAGGATTAGATGTTTCTTCATAAGACCAAGAGATGCTCAAGTTTGTAGAGGCAGAATCATACGAGATCCGGGCACGACATAAATCTTGACTATGCAAGCTTGCGTTCCAATAAGTAAAACTAGAGGAAATAAGAGACATCTTGTTGATCCCAACGTGAGATTGAATACCAGGAGGATCCCATTCAGGATTAGGAAACGTATCAAATTCGATATGCACAAGCGGGAACCGAGACGAGTAATTGTTGGTCTCGTTGAAAAGGCCCAAGAACCCACTAGCTGAATTTGGAGGGACAACGATTCCTGCAGGGGCAAGAAAGAAAGCGAACCCATGCCCAAAATTTGGTGAAGGGTTATTCGTATCGACCTTGAAGGTGAAACTTGTGGTGAAGTCGGAAGGCTTCTTTGTGTCAGCTTCCCAAATAGCAACTTTTTTAGCATAAGTAGCCCAACCAACCCGACAAGTAAAAACATCGTTGTTTAATTCAATCGCGCCATTTGGTATTGCGTCTCCTTGGTACATAATATCAGGATCATCTGGAACAAAACGAGAGATATTAAAGTAAAGAGAGTGACCAAAAGGGAGAAGAAGAAGAAACAAGGAAAAGAGCAAGAACAAGATTGAGTTTTTCATTGTGCAAGTAGAGAAGCTGTGAAGGTCTAAAACCACGTAAAGTATTACTTAGAGCATCTCCATTCGTGTACCCCTCAGAAAAATGTTTAACATTAATTAATTAATAAATATTGATTGAATGGGCAACGTGATTGAATGGGAGAGTGAAGAGACAACGTGAGAGAAAGAGAAAGAGAGAGGAAAAAAGGGAGATAATTTTTTCTTTTCTACAAAATATATTTTTCACCCAATCAATAAATGCCAGCTGTGTTAAGCATCGATCCTTGTAGAGATTGGTTAAGCAGCGCCCCTTGCAGAATCCACCATTATTGATTTATTTTTTGGCTGTTTAATGCTAATAATTTCATGAAGCAACTCCCGTTGGATGTGGTCTAATAGTCTAAACATTTTGTCATTTTCTAGATAAATCATACTGACTAACCCCTAAGAAAAAAGTATACGAACCTGCGATTAGAAACTTTAACAACTATATGATTTATTTTTCTTAATTGTACATTGATTGGTTATCCATTAGTAATCGTTAGGATAACGTCATTATTTTTTTTATCAATCATTAGTTCATTACAAAAAATATTTGTGTAATAAATTATCACTGATAATTAACAAATAATGAATTTTGCAAAAAAAAAAAA